TTTCACATTCCTGCTATATAGTTTTCAGGTTCTTAGAGTGGAACAGATAAATAGTGCTTGTGAATATGTGTTTGGTCTTTCACTCAGGAAGCCAGTTCATTTTTCACTCTCTCCTCCAAAATCCCTTCATCTTTCTCCACCTCCCTCTCATCCCTCATTTCCTTCCTTGCCTTCTCCTATCTCTCCCTCCCTCTAATCTACTGCAATGACCTGAAGGAGGGCTTCACACTGCAGCGCTCAAATAATAATCAAGCACTAGGATGTTGTCAAATTTATAGGACACTGAGCGTTGCATAGCAACAGAGATTGCCAGGGTGATCCAACAGGCGCTGGAAGTTGGGTGAGGGAGGAACGGGGCGAGTGACAGGAGACAGGAGAAGGAAGATGAGATGATAAGAAAAACAGGAGACAGCAGAGAGGGCTGAGATGGGAGTTATGGAGCTGTGATATTGTACACAAAGGGAGAGATGAATGAGGGAGCGAGAAACAGAAAGAGGAAATGAGAAAGTTAAGGTTGGCTTAGTTGAAAGAAAATATTCACAAACTGCTGGCTGCTCCTCTGTGTTATAATTATCACCATGTTTACATGTTCTACTCTGGCATTTTGGCATACATACTGTAGGTGGAGTGAAGTTTAAAAGTGACTCGCCTAGAGCAGAGCAGGATAGTCTTCTCACTACTGATCCACGTCCAACTACAGGCGGCTATTTTCAAACCTCTCATTGATCAAGAAAAACCCATTTTAGTTTTGTCCTGACACATTTCACCCTTTAGCTTCTTTAACATGTCTTTCTTTCTCCCTGTCTTTTCCGTTCTTTCTTTCTTTCATTTTTTTTCTTAGAATCCAAAATGCATGGGTTTCAGTTTCCTGTTCATCCTTGTTGCCTAGAGACTACTTTGGACCTCAGTTTACCTCTGGCAACATTATTCTGGTGTTGTGTCTACCTCCTTCACCAGGAAAGATATTTAAAACAAAACAAAAACAACCGGACAAACTACAACAAAGCTTTATTTACAGCTGCAGACTTCCCCGAACCTGCTAGAAATGTGTGAAGTCAGCAGTTTTGATGAACATATTCGTCACATGATGACTTCTGAAATGCTGAATACAAAATACTTTTTTTGTAACCTACCTTCATTAAACCATGATTAACTGTCAACTTTGAAACAAGTTTAACTGTTAAATGGCACATTTATGATTATATGATTGGACCTGATAGTTTCATAATTAAGTAGGTGTGGATATTGTTCACTCTACACCAGGGGTGTCTAAACTACGTGGTCCATTTTGAATTGGCCCTCAGTAAATTCAGAAAATATAATGGGATATGGCCCACACATAAGAATTGTACTTGTCTTATATTGTACGTCTTAAGTATATATGTAAACATATATTCCCGTCGTTTTTACGAGTTGATAAGCCCACTTTTCAAATACATTTGGTCAATTAAAGTTGAAAACATTTTCAAACAAATCTTAGTTGATAAAAATAAAGCCTTATAACTTATTTGGAAAACAATCTTGAAATATACTCTTCATATTTTCCCTTATTATAAGCAATCTGAGGCTTCTGTTTTAAGGAATTAGCTGCCAACAAAATTAATGAAACCCAATGGAAAGCTGTGATGAAGGCTGTTTTTATTTCCAAAATATATTCTAGTATCAAGCATCATCTACATTTGATGGATTTTGCTAACTTATAACTTGACTTATAAGGCACTAAGCCTCACTGCTCATGAGTGGTCCAGCCCCTCGTACTGTATATCTTTCTGTATGTGGCCCTCAGTGAAAAAGGTTTGGACACCCTTTCTCTACACCTATATGGATGAATAAACAGCTACTTGTAAACGTAGTTCTTTCAACCTGTGCCCTTAGGCGTTCCTTGTTGTCTGCAATGTATTCACACCAAACTCTTTAAAGTATCTCTCTTTCATGACCGAACACGATTATTAAATGACCTCAATTCCAAATGTCAGAGAATCTTTTTAGTTAAAATGTTTCCAAAGTCTAGGAGGTCAATACATGACATTTAGACAAAAGAATAAGATGAACACAGCATTCACCTGAAAACTCTAAATTCTAGTAATACTCTGCATGTATTTTCACACTAGTGCTCAAAGCTAGATTGTTATATCTTTTGCTGTAGTATTTGGGTGCTCATGGGCACTAAGGCAGTTGCTGCTCTTTTGATTATCTCCGTATTGAAAGGCTCAGTAAGTCCCTTCAGACGCAGTTATCTCGCTGTGTCACTGGCAGGTGTTTCAGTTTGGAGAGTCAACTGAGTGCAAGTGGTGATGACAGCTGTGCTCCGGACTAATTATTTCTTGTCACCAGGCACAGCTTTGTTTTGGAGCTAACCTGAGGTCCTCTTCACAGAGAAGTGTCAGTCCAACCCCAAGGTCACCTGCTGTAGTCTCTTTAATGGATTGCTTTATAGTGAAAATGAGTGTCTGAGCTGTGGCTGTTTCTGAATACTAAATGAATATCTTATTAAATTAGAACATCTCTGACCTAGACACAACATAGACACCCCCAACCCAGTGCATCTATAATTAGCAAACTCAGCTACTGTAGCCATAGCTTTTTTCCGATAACACCCCATTCATGTCAGTATAGGTAGGTGAGAAAACGCTCAACAAAACAGTAGAATGCAAGATACAGCCTCCGAACGACCATTAAGTTGAATGACTGTTCTACATCCATTTAAACTAAACATAAACATTATAGGCAGGCACAGAGAAAAAGAATAAAACACTATATACTGCAGGGATGTTGTAATGCAATGTATTAGTTTAACTATAGATAGGCATAGCCAGTAAACCGGCAACTGAATATAAATCCAGTGTGACTGTTTTATATGTCTTGAAGGCAGTAATTGAAGATAAAAAGCTTCTTTTTTTTTCTAGCAGAATGTACAAAGGATTTGCACATTTTGAACCAGAGGAAAATCTTCCCTCAAGCGGGGTTTGAGATTGGTGAACTGATGGTGCAAGTAACGAGAAAAATGTATACATTTGAAGTAAATAAGATAAAAACATGAAATACTGTACTGTAGAACAGATGAACAATGTATTAAAAGCCATTTAGTGACTTATGGGTAACTGCAAGTAAGCTTCAGGCCAACATTTGGTAACACGAGGCCTTCATTTAGTGTTTCTGTCTGTGTACCAGTGTTTGTTTTGATGATGATATGCAAATGATGTGGACATAAAATTAGAATGCACTTTTGCGTGAAATGAGGCTTAAGGGCAAATGTGGAGAAATAATTTGGAAAACTGCATAATTCATGACCTGCTTGGAATAATAGCACCTGAAATATTCATTAGCTAAATTACTTATCTATGTAATCTGCTTTTGTTGTGGAGTTCAGGGGAGAAAGGGCAGCGGAAGAGAAAAAAAACGACACCATCCACCCTCACCAAAACACTGTCTTTGTTTGCGAGAAATAGACCTTTTATACAAAAGCGATGTGTTTCGAGTCTACATGCGGCACATTGAAGCACCAGCTCTTATTAAATACCTTGCCTGCCACTCTGACTTTACTTTTTCTGCCACAAAGGTAACCTACCTCAATTACATAATGTCAGTCATTTGAAGAGGAGGATTTTTCAGGCTTAAAGATGTTGTTCCTACGCATCAACTTGATTCGACCTCTTCCAGCTTTTTTCCAACATGGCACTCATTGATGCTGGCATTAAAGCACATGTATCCTCAAAGCTGCATTAACACAGATGATCAAAAGGCGCTGGCCAAGCCTTTGTTGGTACATCAAACAGCATGAACATTGGAAAGCGAGCAATTCCCAAAAGGAGGTACACACCAATTCCATTGTGTCATTATTAAGGTTAATATTTACCGTGCTACGCCTTGGCTTATTTCATTAATCCTGTAATCTGTGGAATACACATAGAGAAACACAGCATGTGAGCAAACAGATGCAAACAGATGATTAAAAGCATTCGCCTTCAGTGAAGTTCTTCCCTTTGTCTTCTTTTTGCAGGCAAACGCACACATCAAACTCGACCCAGTTAATCAAAGTGTGAATACACGGGGCGTCAGAGGGAAAGATTTGGGGGTGTACTTTTGTTCCGGCAGCCAGTGATCCTTTTCTTTCCACAGATCTGCACCACCACTAACTCAGCGGAGGAGAGAAGTGTTTTTGTGTCACCCGTACTGACACATACAGTAGGAGAGAGATAAAATGTTTCAGAATAGCAATTGTGTCAGATGATGAAACTCCTATTCGAAAGAGGTAATCGTGTGTAGCCCTATTACAGATATCTGCATTGTCTCATGCTTCTGCCGATGATTACGCCGCCGTACATTGAATTGATACTGGCCAGAGTATTACCATCTCCTAATTGAGTTGATTTTACATCCGCCTCGTGTGTGTGAAAGCCAGCTAATTCCAGGCGCTCTTCATAACACAGAGCCAGTGATGCTCTGCCAGTTTATGGGATAGCTGTAAGGATATTCACAGCGCTTTATCCTCTTTCTCACGAGGACATAAACCCTCTTGATGTAAAATTATACCAACTTTGGTTGGGTCGGGATTGCATTACATCTCATTAAGATGTCAGCTTTTCAAGACTCGTAGTCTTTCAGGCACGGAAGCCTTTTCGCAATTCACAAAATGTCACAAAAAGAGCCCTTGGAACAAGCAAAAAATGGCTCAAAGGCTTTGATTCCTTCTGACCTCGTTTCGCAATGCTGGACAGCGCTGGCTGGCTCGGCCTGTTTGTATCTGCTCCTTGGCTTGATTGATGCACCGGGGGACTCACACAGCTGGGAAGGAGGCAGTAAACCAGAGGAAGGAACAAAGAGTAGTGGGCCACACGGGGTACAGCAATTAAGCTGTTTACTTGTTGTTAATTAAAAGCAAATTAGAGACTGCAACAGGAGTTGCTGTCTAGCCTTAATTGCTGGCAGCATGTATATCCCAGCCACACCTGTTGTTGCATCTTTAATCTTTTTTGTTTTCCCTCTTGTGTCTTCCTTAGGGACGGAGAGGAAAGAGTGGGGAACCTGGAGTCAGAGGCCTGCCTGTAGGTGTCATACAGTAACACAGACACACATTCAGACTTACTTTTTGATTTAGGAAAAGGAAAATCATGTTCTTTCTACATATAACATACCTGTATTTTTTGTATTTGGCAATCTTACTTTAAGGAAAAATATGCAGTGATTGAAGTTGAAAAGTGATGACCTACTTAGCTTTAATCAGTCAGCACCTCTTCTGGCTTTTTCTACCATTCAAAAACCATTTCAATTTCACTTTATTAGACCCTGTATTTATTTGAGATCACTAATGTCTACTTCAATGTATACCAGGCTCCCCAAATTGCAAGTTATCATGATTGCAAAAGCATATTAAAGCAGTCAATCATTACAACAGACATGCATTACAAAATCCAGCTTAAACAGGCAATTACACTCTTTAGTCAAACTTGTCAGTAAACGTTGGCCATTAATTCCATGCTAAGGCTGTATTGATCTCTTCAAAATCTTCCCACCCTGCTGCAAGCGGGCTGTTTTATTAGTATAAAACCACAAGGGGTGTATTCAGGTTAGCTACTGCAATGCTTGTATTAATGAGTAAGACAAGTCTGTCAATAAAGCCCCATTGACTTGTTGAATTATGGTGTGCCTCAGGTGTCCAAACTAGTCCCAGACACTTTTGGTGTGTTTGTGTAGTGACCCACATGGCACAAGCATCACATAGAGTTAAAGGATACAGCCTGTCGGACTCTTCACTGCTCTGGAGTCAGGACGAACAGGAGTGTTTAGGCATCATGTAGCTTAGGGTGTCCAATTATTTTCATGCACTATCGCCCTAATTATACTCTCGATCAGGACAAATGGTTTATCTTGCTTTATTTTTCCCGGAAGTCCAGAAAGATTTTGTTCTTTTTTCTATCACCTTTATTCTCAAGGTTCAATTATCTTCAGTATAATACAGTGTTAAACCTTTCCTGCATGACTCAATGTGTCTCCTGGGTCCTTAATAACTCATAAAACTGTAGGACGCAGAGTCATGGGACAAAAGAAAGACTGGATGGAGAAGGTGTGACATTTCTAAATGGCAATGTCCTGATGATACCCTTAGCATGTGCCGGCTTAGCTTCCATCCCCTGGTATTGGCATTTATGAGTCACCTATTTTGCTGAGTTGGATCTCAGGGGCGAAATCATCTATTCAAAACACACACCAGGGCATCACTGGGTCTTGTCTATTGGCAGCAGGACAGTGCTTGGTTATTTTTAAGTCAAATTAGCATTTGACGGAGATGGCAGTGAAAGGCACGCAAGATGCGCTCAGAGATAATCTATAGACTGCTGGGGTCCGGTCACATACTTATGAGAGATAATATTAGTGCAAAGGTTGGAAACTATAATACTGTACACCTATAATCTGAATATGTTTAACTACACCTGTTAGTTTAAACCCTTCTGTGTATATAAAGCTGACATTCAAAGTCTAAAGCTGCCTCATTATTAAACATTTTTGCTATGTTAATATTCATTTTGTTTAAACCTGGTTTGTCTAAACACTTGCAGATAAAAATAAGGCAAAATGTCTTAATAATACTATGCTGTTTGAGTCAAAAGCCTATGAAAGTAAAATCTATTTTTTCAATGTTTTTTTAGAGAGATGAAGACATATATACCAAATATATATATATATTATATTATTATATATATATATATATATCAAAAGATCCTTTGAAAACCTCAAGAAGAAAATTGGCATTCAATGCAGCCTTAGTTTAGGAAGAGGTGATGAAAGGCTTAGGGTGGTTTAAAAACAATTAAAAAAACGTACTGTATATAAATACTGTTCACAAGTGTTCATTTAATCAGCTTTTGTTACATTCTCTTCATCCATTCTCTGTGCGTAAAGGAGTTTCATTTGCTTCTGATTGCAGAGTCCCCTAGGAGCCCCGGAAGAAGCAAGTGTCAAGGTATCACTCACAACATTGTTCATCTTAAAACAAAGTGCTGACATGTGGCATTTAAAAAAGATGTGAGTCATCTCCCTGTTTGATAAACAGGGCCTCACCTGCACTTCCAGCCAGGGTGAATTGTCAAGATGACTGAGCAGTGTTTATTGTAGCGGTCCCCCAAATAGGCTAGGAGTTTAATCATCTGAGCTGTGTGTCGGTATAAAGACAGGCTGTGTGTAAGTAGTTGTCCCAGGAAACCGGCCCAGACAAGTCGGACGTCTGTGTGACCAGACCCCTGTCCTTGACTGATGGTTTCTGTGTCAGTCAGGATGGGTTCGCCCTTGTCAGAAATAGCACCTTTCAGTCAATCGCAGCAATATCTACTGTGCAATTTGAATAGCTGTTCCCACCCCGCACCTCCTGCAGCGCAGCACAGCGTGACTCAGTCCTCATACTCCAAACAGACAGATGGCCATTACATACAGTGCTTTTGCAAAAAAATATACAACTTTCAAGAATCCCAGGGGTGCTGTAGCTCACCAGAGGCACATGAGATATGCAATGTAAAAAACTCCAAGACATGGACCTCTACCAGCCCTCCTACTGTCTTTGTTGCTACCCGCACCCCCCCCCCCCCCGCAGCCCCTAACATCCACCCACCAGGCCTCCAGTGGCCCACTTGTGATCATGCAGAGAGTGAAAGCTATTGTGTACTGGACAGCCTCCTGACCGCAGCTGTTCATTTGATGTATAGGTGCGTTGTTTGCCGGTGTGTCAGCGCAGGCCACAGAATTCCTCCTGCTCCCTCTGCCCAGAGGAAGCAGAAGTGTCAGCTGGCCAACATTGAGAAAGAAAGTTGTCTTTATGAGGACACATTTAGTATACCTCAACACAAATGGGATAGGAGTAGCTTAAGCATAGGCGATAGTGGGGATAGAGGATAGTGGTTTCATTTTGATGAAAAATGACTCCATGTTGCCATGCTCTATTAAGACAAGCTTAAGAATAAAATGACAAACAGAGGTTACCTTGATTAAGTTTTCATGAGCCTTCTGTAATTAGCTGCCGAGTTGCAGTTTATTATCGCACCTGAATCAGTTTCATATCATAAAATTAATCCATAAAACCCAAAACCTTTACTCGGCAGAGGAGAAAGGAGCTCTGTGATTAGGGGTTCAGCATATTTCAAATGTACTTTACACTTTCATAGGCCTTTTATTAAAAAAATGACAAAGGCAGTAAATAAAAGAAACACGTAAAGGTAATTCCATGTAATAGCAACAAATATTGTTCAAGAGTGTGGGGGAAAGTTTACCAATTTTTGAGAAAGTAGACCTGTGAGCCCACTGTTACCTGCAACTTTAAAGCGATATCGGAACGAAGTTAGTAAAACATGCAGGTGGCAAAGCCTGCAGGAGACCAAAGCCACCACCCCATTCAGATTAGATTAAAGGTTTCATTATGATTAGATCACCAAAAAAAAGTGTGTGTTGTCTCATGCTGATGTTACTATACTGTATGTTTAAACACACCAACAAGATTGCTTACATTAATAGTGTATGCCAGCATTGCCCTTGCCATGAATCAGTCATATCCTTACATCTTCCCTTTCATTCATGTTTAAGGTTAACGACAAGAAAACCTTTCAGAGTCCCAGGGTATGACTTTACATTGAAATCTGCTCATGCGAAACATACAGTACACAACTTTGCATTTAAAGGAACTTAAACAATCCAGCGAGGAATGGAAAGTAAGAGTTTCCAGGAGTAGAAATAATTCAGAGATTCTTCCTTCTTTTGCATTTTTTAGTTTGGACAAAACAGTGTAACATCTGTGTGAGCCGAGCCCCCTCTCAGTCACTCAGCAGCGTGTGAATGTTTTAAAGAGAAAAACAAAAGATCCTCACTGTGCATGATGTGCCTGGAAGACTGCGCTCTCATGAATCACATCTCCATACCTGTATCTCCCACTGACAGGCTCAAACGGGCTCTGACAGCACACTGCAGATATTGATGGAGGGACGAGGTGGGATGCAGACAGGCCTAATTGGAGTTAGATGAGTCGAGGTGCCTCAAAGTCAACATATTACCCACAGGTGGACCAGTTCCCTGTCCTAAGCACGCTGGGCTTTCTCGTTGTGTAAATACAGTGATAATCTGGATAAATACTCGCCGTGCTGCAGTTAATCTCATTTGAAAGGTTTATTAACTTGTCACATACCCCTCTGCTAATACATTGACTTTGAATGATCTTCCTTGAAGATCTAACAATGATAACGACAGAAATGGTTTGCCAGCCTATGCCAGAACACATGTTTACAACAAATCACATCACAGGCTAAGAATAATTGAGATTTACATTGAGTCATAAATCAGTGGGAAACCATTTTCTCTGCACAGTATAGCATGTGTTTTACAGTTAGTGTAAGACACTAAGATACTGCATTAGATTACATTTCATTTAGCTGACGCTTTCATCCAAAGTGACTTACAATAAGTGCATTCGACCAAGAAGATACAAACTTGAAGAAAACAGAATCATATAAGTACATTAGGTTTCATAGAGCCAAACCATTTTAAGTGCTACTCAACTGGTTTTAGATAAGCCAGTCCTTTGTTAGTATATAAGTGCTTTGTTAGTATGTAAGTGCTTAGTTAGTATATAAGTGCTTTTTATTTTGTTTTGTTTTTTTGTTTTGTTTTTTGTTTTCTGTTTTTCATTTTATTGCTCGAAGTGGAGTCGAAAGAGATGAGTTTTCAGTCTGCGCCGGAAGATGTGTAAGCTTTCTGTTGTCCTGATGTCAATGGGGAGCTCATTCCACGCACTGTGAGCGGCTCTTGTTATGGAAAAGTTATCTGACTGATAGCACGCCAACAATGATCTAATTGATAAGATTATGATAAGATTATGATGGTAAAACTACGAGTTCCCATGTGGTTGATAAAGCTGAACGGAATTCAATTAGTGCTCAAAGTCAATTTAGCCTATAGTCTGTCTTCCCCGCCTAAAATATTAATAGGACAATCCATCTGTTCATACATGGCAGCATTGTACTGACTTAATAACGGCTCATAATTTGGACGAGGAAACAGTGACTATATCTCATTAAATTAATGGTATCACAGCGGCTGCCGTTAGCAAGTGGAAGGCATGGGGGAGGGGCTGAGACTGGAAGGCAATTATTGTTTGTTAGAGACCGGGTGCCGCTAAGGAGTGTGCAAATATGCTGCAACCTTTCTCAGATGTCTCTCTGTCTTCTTAGATTGCTAAACAGATGCTCCTTAATGTCGTCGTATCTAAAGTGTTCCTTCCAAATCTGCACGCATGTCCTACAAAGGAACAATCCTCTTTAATGAACAACCTATATTTCTGTTTGCTGATAGAAAATAATCCCCAAATTTCACAACAGATGAGCTTTAATCAGGCGTGTCCAGAGATGTGAAACAATGCATTTCTGCTACTCCAGATGCATTTGGTGAATGATATGCTGTGAAGGGAAATATGGCTGGTAGAAAGATGTTGGGATATGCATCCTGTATGATGGATCTTCCGTTGTGTAGTTATCCTGCGTGTATGTATGAAAAAAGGTTCCATCACAAATATTTTTAATTAATCATTCACTGTGTGTCTTGGCCAAGGTGCAGGTACATTTGTTTTACAGTTATGTTTACTTAGAGCACTCTCCACATAACTGACAGTAAGAAATCCTATTAAAAACACTCTGAGGGAAGCTCACCAGCAGTCATCAAGTGCCATCTATTGGCAGACAGGGGAATGACTTTAAAGTGGAAGCTATGCTGCAATTCAACAGGGGCCTGTATTTATCATCATCCTGCCACACTGTCAACACAATACTATCATAAAGTCACAGTTTCCCTTTCTCCTATCAGGGTTACAGATGACACAATACTGTATTTCTTTCCAGATTACTCATTTATAAAGTCTGCCTTTGCCTAGGTTTCACTCTCTGAGCTTTTCTGTATTTTTGCCCTGCCTTTACCGTCAGTCACTGTCAAAGCTCTGCTCTCTGCACAAACAGGTGGAGGGGGCTGAGTCTGCAGTCCCGGGGGGGAAAGGGGAGAAAGGAGACCCTGTACGTATTTCCCTGCGGTGACATTTACAACGCTGTGATGTTACACAGTCATTAACCAAGGCCTTCTCCCACAGGGTCAGATAGATGCTCAGGGGGCCGGAGAGATGAAAGGACAAAAGGTAAGTCACGTCAATGTCATGTGTCATACATGATGCTGCCCACTGTTTGTGCTCCTTGAAACTCAGAGTGTGTGTGTGTGTGTGTGTGTGTGTGTGTGTGTGTGTGTGTGTGTGTGTGTGTGTGTGTGTGTGTGTGTGTGTGTGTGTGTGGTGTGTGTGTGTGTGTGTGTGTGTGTGTGTGTGTGTGTGTGTGTGTGTGTGTGTGTGTGTGTGTGTGTGTGTGGGGTCATGGCAGTGTAGATAAAAAAAGAGAAAGAGGTGGTGGAGGTCCAAGTGATATAATTGGTATGATACACCAAACCTACGAGGTTAAACTTTTTGAGATAGTTATCATCTTTAAGTCAGCTTATTATCTAATGGTCTCCGAAGACATGAAATATTAATTATATAGTATACTTGCCGTTGAAGATATGTGCCTGTGTGGGTTTTTGCATCTTTTTTTCAATGTAGATGTGTTTATATGTCAAGTATCACCATGAACAATTAGTTTAAATGGTAAGATACAGGAACCATGCATCTTGGGTAAATGTAAATGTTGTGCTAATAGGCACAATAGGCTAATAGTAGACCATGAGTTATAAATGAAGATTCAGAGGTTCACCAAATTCCTAATAATTCATGGTGAGGGCATACAGTGTACATGTACCACATTTCATAACACTCCTTCCGATATTTGTTGAGACATTGTCCTGAAAATCCAAATATGTCAATCTTGTGAAAGCGAAAGAAAAGTCAGGGGCTCACCAAAGTCAGGATTCATCCTCTGGGAACCATGAATGCCTGCCCCAAATGTCATTGAAATCCGTCATGATGTGATATTTCAGTGTGGACCCGAACGATTGGACCAAGCCACATCCCTAGAGCTTGGCATACAATCCTTTTATGAGTTTATGATTGTTTAATTAAAGATTAAAATGACACCTTTGAATGATTGTGTGGGCCTGGCATGTTACAGCATGTATTCTCTAAGTGCTTTTTAGTTGTTTATAGTACTGTGTCACAGATGTTGTGCTGTGTTTCCGTGTTTCATTAAAAGCGCTAAAGTTATAGCTTGTAAATTATGAATGGAATAATGGAGGCTCCTAAATGCAATGCATCACAATTAAGGACCCTCCACGGTCCCCTGGAGCACCCCATTAAAAGGAGTTCAACGCGGTTGCACTATACAGTACATGTATTATTATACACACACACACACACACGCTATAAGTACATTTCACATGATGCACATGAAATGCTCTTTACTGAGAAATGTTTTCTTTCCATTCATCTAATGGCTCTTCTCACATCACTTGAGGTTTGCAGTATTTTTCAAAAGTCTGTTCATGTTATTGCTTTCTTTATTGTTGCTCCAAAACCTATTGATGAAGGTTTTCGAGGTCACTTGTGGCACTTTAGCTTTCAGAAATAGTTTCTCAAGTTACTGTTTGTCTTTCAGTCTCTTATACAGCATATGTACTGATTCACATTAGTTGTCTGCTCTTTTTCAGGGTGAAGTTGGCCTTCCTGGTCCGCCTGGTCCTGTAAGTACAATGTAAAACCCACCTTACAGAATATCATACATGGTCAGTTAGTATGACATTTTATGTATGTGTTGTCATAAGACACACCAAACTATGTTGCATTGCTGTCCCAAAAATCAATTTTGTAGTATTAGCGCTTTGTTCTCTGCAAATAAAAACAATCTGTGCATCATGGTGTGTTTCACATTCTACAATTTGAAGGGGGAGCTCAAAGCAATAGCAGTGCTGTGTTTATGCTGTCACTCCTCACACCTGGAGCCATGTCACCTTGTAACCAATTCCCATTATTTGACTTACCTGCAGATGTCCTCTCTATCTTGAATTGAGTTCTAAAAAATCCTATTTTCCCCCATCTTCAAAAACGGTGGATTGGTATTGATCAAATGCATGCAACATGGGCATTCATTTTAAGGCAGATAAGATTATAGTTGTGTTGAATTTCACCCAGCAAGAACTTCTTTTTAGGTAATGGACTTACTGATATTTTGGCAGCAAGCTCCCAGGGAGTCTATGCAATGCACACAGCAAAGAAATATACACAACATACAGTAGCTATACCCATTCCCTGAAAGCTGTGAACGATAATTTCCTTCTCCTATCTTGTATCAAATTAACACGTGCACTAGCCATCGCCAACTGATATGCTAATCTTTCGCTTGAAAAACATCTTTATAGTGTGAATTAATGAGGGCCAGCAGGACATGACCTGTTTATAATGTCCATAATTGTAGATAGTAATATGATTCATCTTGGAAGTCACCAGTGCTGCTTTCAGTAGAGAAACACATACAAAAGAAGCCCTGACGTCATGTGGTGTGTCTGATGCTGAAGGTGACACTTGCTCTGACATTTTCAGCAAAAACACACTGTGACAAATCAGTGAAAGATCTGTAATGGTACACTTGCAACTATGACACATTTTTTAAATAAAGTTGAAATTAAAGTATAATTGGTGTCAAATAAAAACATTTAGTTTGAGCTCACGTGTCACATAGTCAGGGGTTTGATTTATATGACTCTGTCCTAATGGGTTTTTATTCAAAAGACTTCCTGCCTACTGAGCCTCTGAAGGCTTCACACATGAGCTTGGAAACAAACTTTGATGGCTTTCATTCTTATTCTCATTCTCGTTGCTTGTTAGCAAGCAATTCATATGGAAATGTGACAACTTAATTATACTGCGAACAAATATCACTCACCCTCCACTGGTTTCATTGGTTTCTGTCTACCAAACAAAAAGTCTGCTCCCCTAATAAGAATAGATATCAACGTGGGCGGTTTTAATGGCTGTTCAAAAACATTGAGGTTTTGGCTTTGCAATTATTTTGGAATAGCCATCTCTCTTTTTTCACTAAATTGCACTTCAACAGGGGAAGCAAGATAAAGAAAAGTTCCATCAAAACGTAAATACTCAGTGGTGTTCATTGTTGTGCGGTGAGGTATGGACCACCCAGGATATAGGAGATGTATACAGTACTATGGCAGAGGAGGAAACATTAATCATTTGATAAATGAGGCTATTTGAATATTTAGTACCAGTCTCTGTCTGTGCTCTCTGCTTCCCCGTGGCAGATCATTTTGGCAGTTAAGCATTGATTTCCCTTACACAGCAGAAGCGAGGGTTTGGATCATTACCTTCCTTTCATAAACCTTCTTGTGCCTCTGTTTATTAGTGACGGGGAGGAGCGGCGGGCTTACAGCCATGCACTGCCACCTCCAACGTCCTTAAAGTGGCAAAACGCTCTTTTCATCTCCGAGATTGTCCTGTTTTTATTGCTGCCAGTGTTGCTTTACAATATGTTTTATAATCTAGTAAAGTGAATCTGTTTTTCCAAGTTATTTTAAAGTAAAATGTTCTCTTTCTGTCCCCAGAGTCAGAACTAAACATGGTAAAGCAGCGTTTAGTTATTATGCTCCAAATATCTGGAACAAACTCCCAGAAACCTGCAGGTCCGCTGCAACTCTGACTACTTTTAAATCCAGGCTGAAGACTTATCTTTTTGTCGCTGCTTTTAATTGAAACTGAGCCGTTGTGTTCATCAGTAAAGTGGAACTTCTGTGTGAACTATTCATATCTTAAACTGCACTGTAACTTTTTATTCATGTACATTTTATTCATGTATTTTTTCTTTTAATGTTTATTTGATTATCTTTTACTGTTTTTAAATGCCTTTGTCTGAATGTCTTTCATTTTTGTAAAGCACCTTGAATTGCCTTGTGTTGAAAGGTGCCTTGCCTTGCCTTGCCTTGCCTTGCCTTGCCTTGCCTTGCCTTGCCTTGCCTTGCCTTGCCTTGCCTTGCCTTGCCTTGCCTTGCCTTGCCTTGCCTTGCCTTGCCTTGCCTTGCCTTGCCTTGCCTGCCTGCCTTGCCTTGCCTTGCCTTGCCTTGCCTTGCCCTTGCCTTGCCTTGCCTTGCCTTGCCTTGCCTTGCCTTGCCTTGCCTTGCCTTGCCTTGCCTTGCCTTGCCTTGCCTTGCCTATGCATATTTCACTTCTCTGGCGAAAGGCTCTGGCAGAAGTGTCTTATCTGGTCTCATACTGATGGAACTGGGTTTAGAATCGGTGGCAAGATAAAAATGTCAGCAGCTGTTTTTGTGAGTGACTGCAGGTTGAAGGTTGAGTGATAATGCAGTCAGTCCGCTGGGGCACTCGGGGATTAAGGACTTTACTGAAGGTTATTTTGACTATTGCTGCGGAAGGAGGGCTTCGTGTCAAGTTTATTTGTGTAGCTCTTAATCACAGTAACACTCTCAAAGGGCTCACTGGCACACATTAGTCCTAAAACAAGGGCACCAGCACAGATGGACAAAGAAAAACATGACACGAGGGCACCAAGATGTGTCTGGAGAAGAAGCTTGGCGTTCAAAATGTGATTGGTGTGATTCATTAAATATATTTTCAATGGAGCATTATCTATCATGCAGACTCTATTTTTCCAGCACCAACATTTGGATGTATTTCAGTATGATCATTGCTTCTCTCACTTCTTTTATCATTATGCCTAAACCACCCAAGACTGAACTGGTTATAACTGCACATGGGGGTGAAACATGTAGTTAACCAAACACAAAGGGCCTGAGGAGATTTAGATGTAAATGAGTTCTGATAATCATAGATTGTAATGAAGATGGATAATTAGATTTGCTCTCTAAATTGCTTTGCTCAGTTTTTTAATACAATGGACTTCAATCACTGGCCTCACATTTGAAACCTTTTGTGCAGTTTACACCAACATTTCAGTGTCCATCAAACCCAGATTGTATCTAGAGGTGTCTGTGCCACCTGCTATTAACATATTTCCATTGTGAACAGTTTAACTGTAACAAACTCTTTTCTCACTACTATCCCACCACTTCCTGGTGTGGGCATGCTTTAAAAAAAGATGAAGATGGCCATTTTTAAAACAGCCGTTTAGAGACAACTTCCTTTTTCAATTTTGTGGACAAAAACACTAGATAGCAGAAATGCAGTTGTGTCCAGTGTGGTCAGTATTTTGCCATTGAACAGAAATTAGTCCTCAGTGAGACCTGGATGTTTTTAAACCTGGAATATAATTTGATCAAGATCTATTAGAATATATTCTGATCTGCTGTGAAATTAACACCAGGACTCGGAATGTCATATTAATCAGTACACAGAATGATATAAGGGTAAAGAGGTTTTGTCGAAAACAAATTTTGTTTTGGATTACATTTAGAAATGGCTCCTATTCACATGTTATAGTACTACATGTAGGTGTCAGTCTGCCTCACTCAGCTAGTACCTCTTGACCTTTTACCGTTCCAATGCATTTCATTTTGTTATAATAGCCTCTGCCCCGTGGCTTTAGATTCCACATTCTTAGCTAGTCTATCTATCGATTTATTATACATTTGCAATCACTTATTACTTTTATTGATTTTTGTTGAATATTTTTACAAGAAATCAACAGCTTTTACTTGAATGGAGATCGGTGGATCACAGTTTAGGTAACGCTGTGTCTTTTTCATTACTTCTAGGTGATGACAGCTCACGGATTAAGACTGCTCTCTGCAACTGTGAGCAGCTTTTTGTATCAGAACACATGTTGGTTTTTCCCGGCGGTCCCTCTACAGTCGGATTCTGAAGTGGTTTGTTCTTTCTTTTTTTTAGGATGAAATGAAGAAGGTGAAGACCCAAGGAGAAAAGGGAGATCAGGTAAATGTATCCCTCTTTGATATTTTCTATACAATTGAATCATACAAATCTCATTATAGAGTTTCATTGTATCCAACATTTTGTGATAAGATGTTTATTGATTTGATCAAACATGTGTATAGATTAATACCAACAAAGGGCTGCTGTCAGGCAAACCAGCCATACTCATATTTCAATTAGGAATCATCATTTAACAACAAAACAAATGAAGAACATGGTACATCGTTTTTCACAATCTCTTATAGACATGACGAGATAGAGTTCCAAAATCTAAAGCCATATGCATAGATCTGCCTGAAACTCCCTATATGTCAAAGCGTCTAGTTTTCATCCGAAATAATTGACATGTTAGCAGAACCGAAAGACAAATATATATACGCTGATGATTCAGGTGTCTTGAAGAAAGTGATATATATTGAACTTATACCTATGTTATTTATTGACAAATCGTTTTATTCATTGTATCCGACATTTGACACCACAGCAGATGCTTTTTCCCAGTTTATTTTATTATATCAACAAAATAAGTTGACATTTCATTTTGAAAGAACAATTGAACATCACTTGCTGTGCAGATGAGTTCAAAACAACAAATGCATCTACTTAAATTACATTACATTACATTGCATTTAGCTGACGCTTTTATCCAAAGCGACTTACAATAAGTACATTCGACCAGGAAGACACAACCTTGAAGAAAACAGAATCATATAAGCACATCAGATTTCATAGAGCCAAACATTTCAAGTGCTACTCCACTGGCTTTAGGTAAGCCAGTCCTTTATTAGTATAAAAGTGCTTCGTTAATAGTTCTAACGCTCGAAGTGGAGTCGAAAGAGATGAGTTTTCAGTTTGCGCCGGAAGATGTGGAAGCTATCTGCCGTCCTGATGTCAATGGGGAGCTCATTCCACCATCTTGGAGCCAGGACAGCAAACCCACGTGTTTTCGCCGATGGGAACTTGGGTCCCCCTCGCAGCGAGGGCACAACGAGTCGTTTGGCTGATGCAGAGCGTAGTGCACGCGCTGGGGTGTACGGTTTAACAATGTCCTGGATGTAGGAAGGGCCAGATCCATTCGCAGCATGGTAAGCAAGTACCAGTGTCTTGAAGTGGATTCTAGCAGTTACCGGAAGCCAGTGAAGGGAGCGGAGGAGCGGAGTGGTGTGGGAGAATTTAGGAAGGTTGAAGACCAGACGAGCCGCTGCATTCTGGATGAGCTGCAGAGGTCGGATGGCACATGCAGGTAGACCAGCCAGGAGGGAGTTGCAGTAGTCTAGGCGTGAGATGACGAGAGCCTGGACCAGAACCTGAGTCGCTTTCTGAGTCAGCTGGGGACGTATCTTCCTGATGTTGTAAAGCGTGTATCTGCAGCAACGGGTTGTAGCAGCGATGTTTGCAGTGAAGGACAGGTTGTTATCTAGGGTCACACCCAGATTCCTTGCAGTCTGAGTCGGGGAAACAACTGAGGTGCCGATGTTGATTGTTAGGTCAAGAGTGGTGTAGCTCTTTTTCCTTTTCTGCATAACTTCGTCACAGACCTCCCGTCACACTAAACTTTATCACAGACCTCAGCAGAGCTTCAAAAAGACGTCAACCCACATGGAGTTGTACAGTGTAACAGCAAAACACGCAGTACCAGCACATGAACAAACATTAGTTCCTAGGCACAAGAAACACATACGCATATCGGCCCAAGATGTAAAACAAACTGTATTAAATCATGCCATATTTAACGATTATAAATAACATGAAATAAAGTATTCATTTATCCAATTGAACTATGACATTAACCGTGTTACTCCTTTTAATTAAGGCAACTTCGTTACGTCATTTACAAGTGGGACAATCTTTTCCCGGGAGGAAGAGCAGCTCAGTCTTGTCAAGGTTGAGCTTGAGGTGGTGAGCAGACATCCACTGAGAAATGTCAGCTAGACAAGCAGAGATGCGTGCAACGACCTGGGTCTCTGAGCGGGGAAAGGACAGAATGAATTGGGTGTCATCAGCGTAGCAGTGGTAAGAAAAACCATGCGGGCTAATGACTGATCCGAGCGAGTTTGTGTACACGGAGAAGAGGAGGGGACCAAGAACAGAGCCCTGAGGGACCCCCGTAGTTAATTGACAAGGGTCGGACTCAGACCCTCTCCAAGTCACCCTGTAGGTACGGTCTTTCAGGTATGAGGTGAGGAGGGAAAGTGCAGAGCCTGAAACTCCAAGTTTTTGGAGAGTGCGAAGGAGGATCTGATGATTCACCGTGTCGAATGCAGCAGACAGGTCCAACAGGATGATGACAGAGGAGAGGGATGCAGTTTTGGCAGTGTGCAGTTCCTCCGTGACAGCAATGAGAGCAGTTTCTGTGGAGTGACCTGCCTTGAAACCAGACTGGTGCGGATCCAGAAGGTTGTTCTGATTGAGATAACAGGAGAGTTGTTTAAAGACAGCGCGTTCAAATGATTTAGACAGGAACGGGAGGAGAGAGACAGGCCTGTAGTTTATAACATCAGACGGGTTGAGAGTGGGTTTCTTTAGGAGAGGGTTTACTCTTGCCTCCTTGAGACTGTTTGGAAAGTGACCAGAAGTTAGAGAAGTGTTGATGAAATGGGTGAGAAACGGTAGAATATCAGGAGCGATAGTCTGAAGGAGGTTTGAAGGGATAGGGTCCAGAGGACAGGTGGTAGGGCGGGCAGAGGTAATGAGGGTAAGAACCTCACTTGGAGAGAGAGGGGAAAAGGAGGTAAGTGTGTTGGTGGAAGGAGGGTCTGGTGACCCAGCGGTGAGTAAAGGTGAGTCAGAAAAAGAAGAGCGAATATCATCAACCTTTTTTTCAAAGTGGGTAACAAAGTCGCTTGACAGAAGTGAGGAGGGGGGAGGAGCTTTTGGAGGGTCCAAGAGGGTGGAGAAGATGGAAAATAGTTTTTTAGGATTGGAATAGGAAGATTGGATCTTATCTTGAAAGAAAGTGCTTTTTGCCTGAGAGATCGAAGCAAAGAAAGAGGAGAGGAGAGCTTGATAGGTTAGGAGGTCGTCACGGTGTTTGGATTTCCACCATTTCCGCTCTGCTGCCCTAAGGACGGTTCTATTAGCACGCATTGCATCATTTAGCCAGGGAGCAGGAGGGGACTGACGAGCCTGCCGAGATGTGAGAGGACAGAGCGAGTCCAGAGTGGATGAGAGAGTAGAGAGGAGAGTTTCTGCAGCAGAGTTTGGAGGCAGGAGATGGAACGAATCAGAGGAAGGGAGGGCTGAGAGCACCGACGAGGCAAAGCTAGAGGGGGAGAGGGAGCGAAGGTTACGGCGGACAAGTGCAGGATGAGAAGAGATTAGTTTGTTATGTTTGGAAAGGGATAGAGAGAATGAAATGAAGAAGTGATCGGATGTGTGGAGCGGGTTTACAGAGAGGTTAGAAGTAGCGCAGTTCCTTGAGAATATGAGATCAAGGACATTGCCAGCTTTATGAGTCGGTGGGGACGGAGACAGTGAGAAAGCAAAGGCGGTTAACAGAGATGTTAGTTCGTCTATCTTCCCCGTCTGGAGGTTGAAATCATGCGGATTACAAAGGCCACTGATTCAGCTATCGACCAAACAACATAAGGCTCCTTGCATAGAAAGAACAAATAGATATTACAATTTGCAAATGATTGAATAATTACTTTAGACAAAAGCAAGAACTCATGTTTACCCTGTAAGTGGTGCAGTATAAAGGAAAAAGCACAATAATGCTCTACCTTAGAGGTAATTAAAACAGTTACTGCTTTCATTGTATTCACATTATTAGAACAAAGAAGCAAACTTAACAAAGGAAAACAACTTTTCTCCACCTTCACACAATATAAAAGACAACTTCATGAAGGTCCTTTTTTTTTTGCCTTACCCCAGCGAGCAAAAGGAAAGACTTACTTGACAATTTTCTTTTTGCACATCTTGAGAAATGATGGTTGTCTATCTCCTTTACTTTCTACAGGGGGAGAGAGGAGCTCAAGGGCCGCAAGGCTTCAAGGTAACTTGTTGAAGACTTCGAGCTTTCACTAGAGAATCAATACCCACCTCCAATAGAATAAGGCAGAGAAGTCCTTTAAGTCCATTGAGTATCACTGTGCGGTGCTCTCCGCGATGTCACAACAGTGGACGTCTTTGAGGAGTTTATATATTGTTGATCTTTTTTATTGCAGAAAATCTTATTTCTTGGACATACAGTGAGCCCTGAGCTCGACAACAGCACAACACACCAGAGATAATATATATATCCATTTTGTTGCTTTTGAACACCTGTCTGAAAGACTAGCATTTGTAGCGACACACCACAGTAATTATCTTCCACTTGCGACTGAAGTGGACCTTTACTCCTTCTTGTTGACACGTATGCCTCACCAAACTTTTGTATCTGGAATTCAGATATTTTACTGTGACAGGCCTGATGTTTTTTCTCCTCCATTGTACCGCCCTTCCCTATAACTGGATCTCACTCCCACTTTGTTGTTCCTGTGACAGGGAAACGTCGGTCCACCGGGACTAAAAGGAGATCAGGGGCCAGAGGTGAGACTTTGTATTTATCTCAATGTCGGCTGTGCCACTTACAGTAGGTCAAATGGAGAAGAATAGAAATCCTGCTGAACATAAACAACAGTGAGATGAGGGCACCCTAAGTGGAGGTCATAAATAGAACTGGGGGGAAATGTAAACATCATGCCTTTTTTTGCACTCGTTTGTCCAAGATAATGGGATATGCGCGAGTGTAAAATGAAGATGAATGCAAACAAATGATTATATATTACATTTTTAACAACGCTTAATTTCCACAAGTACACCAACTCATCAAAATACATCAAATGAAGAACTTTTTTAATTAAGGACGCGAGAATTTGCTTTGAACATAATAATGCAAATATCTTTCTTATCTAAATCATCAAAAGCTAGGCATAGAAAGCTGCCTGGTACTGATTCTTGTGTTCCCTCTAACTCAGTTATTATTGTTCAACATAAGCTCAGTTACCATGGTAATATGTGACTTTTTCAGTTCGTTAAGAGATGAGTTATAAAGGCGATTGCCCATAAAAAGCTTATCTGTATAAGCATAATGGGGTATAAGCGTGTATTTCAAAACACATGCATGTGAGAAAACCTACCGCCGCCCAGTAATGACGATATCCTCTGCATACAGCACAGTAATTGCCATGAAACTTTCCATGGTTTATTAAAAAGGTGGCATGGGGGACACTTAAACAACACTGCTTATTAAAATACTCTCGAAAGTCGTGTCCACAGTGTAGCTGACTGGGATGTAACATTTGGGAGGCCAGGCAATTTTCTCACCAAACAAAAGGAGAATATATCTCTAAGTATAGGTTTTCCTCTGTGTTTTGCCAGGGGCAAGCAAGGCCTGTCTGGACTCCCAGGACTCCCGGGCGAGGCAGTAAGTTTATTGGCTCTCGACACACCGAGCACTTCATGTCAACCTTTTCTTTCTTTCATTGCCTTATTTGCCGCCTTGCCATATCCTCTTCTCTCTAACTCAGCCTGCCAAAGTGAAAGATAGAGATAAACAGATAAACCTCAACAGACAGAGACAGAGAGGAAGTCGGGAGAGAAGTCCAGAATTTGTACACAGACGATCAGCAATCAAATTTAAGAATTAATTAGTGGAAAGAGGCAAATCTAACTGCTTTATGCCAGGAACGGAGGCAGAGGCTCAATCTGTTCTCCACACCTGCTTCCGTAATGAGCATCTGTCTTTACTCAAAAGCAGGGAGGGAAAAGAGGCATTTCATAAATCCTGGCTAAGGGAAATTATGTTGGAACACGGCAGCCCGCTGAAGCAGTGAGGAGGAGGAGATAAATGTGTGAGAGTAGATGAAGGCCTGGTGATAGATGTGTCTCTTTTCCCCACTATTTACAGGGCTCGTCAGGGGAGTCCGGGGTGTCTGGTAAAGATGGCCTGAAAGGAGAAAAGGTAGGTAAACTTCAAATCAAGTTCCCCCCTTGAAAAGAAAAATATGAAGCTAAGATCCTTTATCACAGGGTGAGCATGTGAGACAACGTTTTAATACACCTTTCAAATTGCGCCACGCCTGCCATTCTCAATCATGTAACTTTTGGCAACTAATGCCTCAAACTACTATTTATTATTTATAATATTATGTACATACATTAATTATTTCAGTAAGATGTGTTTAAAATGCTGATAGAGAGAAAGTGTGCAATTGACATGCATATGGGGTTTGTCACTTGTCAAAATAAAACTCCCCAACCACTGGAGTCACTCTGGTTCACTCAAGGGCAGAGAGATGAATCCTAAAGTGATTCACCGTCCTACAGTAATTCACATCTTCTGTGCCATCTCTGCTGTAGTGAACATTCATGTGGTAGTCTATAAATAAATGTGGAAAGGCAAACAATGTCTGTACGCTAAATATGAAGCTGGAGCCAGGAGACCATAACTTAGCCTGAAAGCATAACAGAAATATGTCTAACAGGCTTTTTTCTTCTCTTAGGCACAGTGGTGTTTTAAACTCAATGCTAATGGCAGCATGCTAACATGCTTACGGTGACAATAAATAAAAGACAATGTTAACATGTTCACTGTTGTAGTTTAGTACAGCTGAGGCTGATGGGAATGCCTTCAGCTGTTCTAGCAGTTTATTGGTAGTATTGAAGTGTTGGGCAAGTTGGGTAACATTTTGACCTCACTGCTGCTAAAGAAAAAGTCAAAGAATAAACAAAGTCCGTAGAATTCCTCCTCAGGGGGGCTTTAAATATGTATACAAAATGTATGGCAATCCATTTAAGACTAGACCAGAATTGGATGAACAACTGACTGCTAACATTGCTAAAAGACAAGACACTAAGGCATTAGTGGTAATATTTCAAGTTCATTTTTTGAGGTGGGAAACAGAAAGCAGACGTTGCTAATTTGGTTTTGTGGACAGCAATTTCTACTCTGCGAACTTGATGGTTTTGTTAGGCTCCATGCAGTGCCAAACGCTGTCCCCTCTAACAAACAGTGATAATGTATCCATTCATGTGCGACATCATTCTGCTAAATGGCGTGTTCCATGGCTACACCCAACAGACTTTTCATTGTTCATCTCCTTGTGTGTAATTCAGAATATGCTTAGCTCAATACTGTCTTTCTGTTTGTAGGGGGACTCTGGTGCAGTGACGGGGCTTCCAGGCCCTAAGGGGGAGCCTGGAGGAGGATATATGGTGGGTACCATATCAAGTTTAAAAAACTGACTGTCTTCTGACCTTGTTGCGTTCAGCCTTCGAGTCTCAGGAGGCAAAAGTGTAAAACCGTAAAACAACAATCCAACAGAAATTCACAAAACAAAGATCATTTGCAAACGGCTAGACATTAGCAGACAGAGTAGAATAAACTAGCTCCTCTAGCTATATAGCTGCTATGACATTAGGGAGATGCAATGCCATTAGGTAATCCACCACCGGATAACCCCAGCCTGGGTAATCACCTATCTTCCCACTTTGGAGCTTATTGCTGTTGAAGCACTCTCTTTTATGGACACGGCTTTGCATATAGAAATGATCATTATAATGTCCTCAAAACCCCAGTGTCAGTCCTAGTTGAGGACGCGTGCACTCCTCAATCACTGGCAAGTGCTCTATGGCTTTAAACAATCATGTTTGTTTGTTTGTTTGTTTGTGTGGAAACGCTGAAGACAACATTAAGCCTGACTTCAGAGGTACTCATCAAGCAAGGCTAGTGAGTTCACTTGAGCGGAGTAATAAGGGAAAGATGCGTGCAGACAGAAGTATTCAAACCTCTTTAATGTAATCCAGCGCTGTGGAAATTGGAGCTGGATTGGAGAAGAGGGCAATAATATGTGTGAAGGTTCAAGGAGGACATTTTTACAGCATGCCAATGACCTCCTGTCGTTTAGTAGTTCAAAAACTGAACAAATACAACAGTTTATCGTTTAAAACTGACTTCCTGGGCAGATGGGATTCTTAGCATTTTATGGTCTTTGTATATAAGACAAAGCAAATAGAAAAAAAGCAATAAACACTTGTCGTTGCTGATGGTCTGGGGTACTTTAATGAGTCAGCCCGCTAAAGAAGGTAACATCACTTTAATGAATTTGCCTTCAAATTAACAATGAGCAATTTGGTCTTTGTTGTGTTTGACTTTTATTATTTGCATACATTAGCAATCTTCCTCTATTCTGAAGTTGTGATATAAAGGTTTTTTCCAGTGCAGTGTAAGTGCATAATGTCTAGTGGAACTGGAACAAAGAGAAAATGCAGTCTTAAGATCATAGTATCAGTCTCAAAAAGTTCTCCACTTCCCAAACTTTCTGAAGGAATTGGTACTTTTCACCCTGAAACTGGAGAACTGCTGTGCTAGTTCCAACTTCTCCACGGCTAATTTACATTGTGCATTGTAGGATTGTAACACTAATACATGCTGACCACAGAAATCAATGTCTCATCCGAACTGTATACAGTAAATAATGCTTACAGTAGCCCTGATTCCAATCAAGGTTTTTCTCTGTGGTATAGCATTATCAGTTTGGCTCTGTAAACAGAAACAATGTGTTGTAAACAGCAGAACATGAGCTCATAATGTGATTCTGTGTTCAGACTGCTCACAGTGTGGAGCGTAGCCCTCGTAAAGATTTCATATTCCTGTTTAAACTCACTCACAGCACTGGAGCAGCTTTTTGTGGGTTGCACCTCGGGTCTCAAAGTGAATAGCTGATGAAGGTGCAGTGAATATCTATTCTGATGTCTTCTTCCTGTTGTTTTTCAGGGCGATGGGTTGTCTCTAAGCAGAGGGTCTCGCGGGCCCAAGGTAGGAAGCACTTTGGTGGTGAAGCATCACTAACACTACCTAAATCTTAACTGCTACAATGTTAACTTCTGCAGATAGTACACTGAACAAAAATATAAATGCAACACTTTTGTGTTTGCTCCCATTTTTCATGAGATGAACTCAAAGATCTAAAACATTTTCTATATACACAAAATAACCATTACTCTCAAATATTGTTCACAAATCTGAAAAAATCTGTGATAGTGAGCACTTCTCCTTTGCCGAGATAATCCATCCCACCTCACTGGTGTGGCATATCAAGATGCTGATTAGACAGCATGATTATTGCACAGGTGTGCCTTAGGCTGGCCACAATAAAAGGCCACTCTGAAATGTTCAGTTTTATCACACAGCACAATGCCACAGATGTCGCAAGTTTTGAGGGAGCGTGCAATTGGCATGCTGACAGCAGGAATGTCCACCAGAGCTGTTGCCCGTGAATTGAATGTTCCTTTCTCTACCATAAGCCGTCTCCAAAGGCGTTTCAGAGAATTTGGCAGTACATCCAACCGGCCTCACAACCGCAGACCACGTGTAACCACACCAGCCCAGGACCTTCACATCCAGCATGTTCACCTCCAAGATCGTCTGAGACCAGCAACTCGGACAGCTGCTGCAACAATCGGTTTGCATAACCAAAGAATGTCTGCACAAACTGTCAGAAAACGTCTCAGGGTAGCTAATCTGCATGCTCGTCGTCCTCATCGGGGTCTCGACCTGACTCCGGTTCGTCGTCGTAACCGACTTGAGTGGGCAAATGCTCACATTCGATGCTGTCTGGCACGTTGGAGAGGTGTTCTCTTCACGGATGAATTCCAGTTTTCACTGTTCAGGGCAGATGGCAGACAGCGTGTGTGGCGTCGTGTGGGTGAGCGGTTTTCTGATGTCAATGTTGTGAATCGAGTGGCCCATGGTGGTGGTGGGGTTATGGTATGGGCAGGCGTATGTTATGGACGACGAACACAGGTGCATTTATTGATGGCATTGTGAATGCACAGAGATACCGTGACGAGATCCTGAGGCCCATTGTTGTGCCATTCATCCACGACCATCACCTCATGTTGCAGCATGATAATGCACGGCCCCATGTTGCAAGGATCTGTACACAATTCCTGGAGGCTGAAAACATCCCAGTTCTTGCATGGCCAGCATACTCACCGGACATGTCACCCATTGAGCATGTTTGGGATGCTCTGGATCGGCGTATACGACAGCGTGTTCCAGTTCCTGCCAATATCCAGCAACTTCGCACAGCCATTGAAGAAGAGTGGACCAACATTCCACAGGCCACAATCAACAACCTGATCAACTCTATGCGAAGGAGATGTGTTGCACTGCGTGAGGCAAATGGTGGTCACACCAGATAGTGACTGGTTTTCGGAACCCCCCCAGACCCCCCCAATAAAGCAAAACTGCACGTTTCAGAGTGGCCTTTTATTGTGGCCAGCCTAAGGCACACCTGTGCAATAATCATGCTGTCTAATCAGCATCTTGATATGCCACACCTGTGAGGTGGGATAGATTATCTCGACAAAGGAGAAGTGCTCACTATCACAGATTTTTTCAGATTTGTGAACAATATTTGAGAGAAATGGTTATTTTGTGTATATAGAAAATGTTTTAGATCTTTGAGTTCATCTCATGAAAAATCGGAGCAAAAACAAAAGTGTTGCATTTATATTTTTGTTCAGTGTAAGATAGAAGTCAAATACTAACATGTTCAGGTACAGTTAATGTCAGTGGTTTATTGTCAGACTCTACCCAACAGCCTTTTCAAATATACTCAAGCACTACTTCAAGGACACACCATCCATAATCTTCCTCTGAATTTATTTTAAATTGGATGTTTTTTCAAGTTAGTCTCAACGACTTTCATTTAAAAGTATATCTTTCTCATATTTAACCCGCTTTGTTGCTAGTAAGAACATATACATTATGTTTGGCCTCCCTTGCCTGTAAAGCTCTGCTGGATGACACAAAAATATCACAGGCATTTTAAATCCGGAGCTCCGGGTGCTGGTTACATACAGTAAATGGGAGCCAAACATTGTTCAGTTGCACATGTGTCGACTAGTTGAAGCTGGTTGAAAATTGAAATATGTTTAATTGAAAATGGCCTCATGGTCTCACTTTCCAAAGCCCAAAGAGGGGACAGAATGGTGATAGAGCCTATCGCCCACGGATAAAACACCTTGCATTTGAAAAATTACAAACAAGGTGTCTGGTGATAATCCCAGAAAATCTCTCTCTTGGATCTCTGGGAAGTGAGACCTATAAACACAGCTACAGTTACTGCTTATCGCCATATGTGCTGTAGGAAACAAAACAGAGATCTACGAGATTATAACTAACTCTATTATTTTTGATAAAAGCTGAGATTTTTAGCCTACAGTAATGTTTCATTGACTTTGGATTTGTCAATGTTTAGGTAGTTTGGTGGTGATCGCTTTTGTCACACGAGGTGGTTGAATTGGGTGTTTTAACCATGTATCCATTACTTTTAGCATTTATGTTCCCTGTTTATCTATTACTACAATTAGTTTTCACAAAACCAAAAAGCCAACCTACTTTATTTACTATATATTTACTGTTATATTTGTAAAGATCTCAAACTTTTTTGATGATATCATATTGAGTTTTCAAGCAGGTTTGTAAAATAATGTACTCAAGAGATCCTAAGTATCAAATACATGTGTATCCCAAGACAGAGAAATCTTATACATAATTAACATGATCATGTCATGGCCTTGGATACAGCCATGTTTCTTTCTGTTGAAGATACTGAAGGCGAAACATAAATGGATATGAATTCTGACAGAGTTTAAAATAGTTTATGATCATGCAGCGCTGCAGCTCTCCATGACTTCTGGATTATTTATCACTGTCTGTTCCCTTTTATTTGTCTCAGGGTGAGAGAGGTGTCCCAGGATTGTCCGGAGAACATGGAGACAAAGGCGAACCTGGAGAGACTATCATAGGCTCACCTGTGAGTATGATGTCATCTGACCTGTGCCTCCCACATTCAGCACAGTTCAAGCTATCTTACCTTGAGATGCTCAGACATTTACTGAGAGAGATCGTTTTTGTATACCAAGATCAATGTTCATTAAATACAGTCTGAGATGAAAACTCTGGTCAATACTGGGAGGTAGAGCCATGTTGCCCTCTGCTTTCGTCATATATTGTCTGCACCGTTAGTTTGAACCTCACATAGGTTTGATTGTGAGTGAGTCTGCTTTCATTTTTGGAATGAAGGATTGTTCGAGGCAGAGAATCAATAGAGCAGAAGGTGTCTAACACAATTCCTATATTGGATCATGGGTGCTACAGGGCAGATAATGTTAACAAGATGTGTGATGTGTTCTTAGGGCCGCATGGGATCTTCTGGAAAACCGGGAATTGAGGTATGTGCAAAACTCTGTGAATCCACAACACAAACAATATGATTTTCAGCTTGTTAATGCTGTGGCGCCTGCAGAGTTTCAATTATTTTACAATACAAATAACACTGCACTGGTTATAGTTGTTATCTGGTTCTATAAAGCAAGATTGACAATGTCTGGGGTTTTTCTCAGGGCCTTCGTGGACTCCAAGGTTTATCTAGCCCTCCTGGAGTTCCAGGTAGAGAGGTAAGTGGGATCAGTCAGTCCTTCCTCTCTTATTCACCCCCCTCACATATGAGTAGATAAAAGTTATGTCAGCTACCACTGTGGAAGAACACGTGTGATGTATCACAGCTCCAGGACACAAATCCCCACCAACTGAGACGGGAGCAGAGCTACAGCTGTGCGTGTGCACTTGATGTCAGTCATAGCTAGGAGGATTGTTGACTCCTTTCTTTGTCTCAATTAAAGGGCTCCCCTGGTAGGCCAGGCCCCCCCGGCCCTGCTGGACCCCCAGGTGAACCAGTAAGTGAACAAAAATCTCCTTCTGCAGCATCAGTGATCTGCAGTGAGAACTACTGAGCTACAATTCAAAGTCACTATTCACAATGCAGTTCCAGTTTGAAGATAATTAGCAGCTCATCCTGCTGTTCACTAACCAACATCAGTCTCAAGGAAATGATGCAGTTTACGACAAATTGGCAGCCCCCTGTTGTTTGCACATGTTCTCATCTCTTTCTCGCCTTTTTATGTTTCAAGTAAGCAACAATAACCATATGTCTGAAAGCTGGAGTAGGATTTCAAAAGGCGTGTTTTGCTGCTGCTTCAAAGCCTTGTAATTTTAGTAATTTAACCGATTTAAATTCATCCACCGTAAACACCCATGATACCCATTTATTGTCTGCTTACTTTTCTTCAAAAATACACTGGCTGCAAATCAAAATGCTTTTCTCAGCTCCAGAGGACAACAATATTTTGAAGACATGTTCCAGCAATAAAATGATTAAACTGTTTCCTCAGGCGTTGCAGATCAAAAATGAAAATGACAAACTGAAACAGGCCTTTGTTAAAAAGATTCTGTGGCAAAGTGACATTACTTAAAGGCATTTAAGATGCTCTAATAGATTGACGTGCTGACCAATTTAGTAGATGCAGTTCCACCAAACAAACAGCTGAATTTTGTTCTGACTGAGACAATTTTTCATGCATTTATTTTCTCCTTCTTTATTTGACAGACTGCCCTGCCAATTGTTGGAGACATGGGAGCATTACTCAAGGTAATTTACCCTAATAGTTAATGATAATTACAGCTTTTCATAACCAACAACATGCAGTTATGCAAATATAGATATGCAGAGACAATGCTTATGTGGCAATTTTCCTCCCACCACATGAAGAGTGATAAGGGATTGCATATTAGTTCATTTCACAGCTATCATGCAGAGTGAAAAAAATATTACAGTATGTGATAAATTGGTGTTAATTATAAAATGTGTTTCTTTGCGTGAGGATCTTCATGCACAAAAAACGCAAAAACCTAAATACATCATTTAGGAGAAGAAAACTGCACAGTGATAATAGTGCACTAATCAGAGTTAATGGGGCAGCACTAACTACATGTCCGATTTTAAAACTGTTCCATATACAGTATAACCCTAACCAATGCAGATGAAAACGCAAATGCTAAATCATCTGTGTGTCCATTGCTCTAATTAAATTCATAATAATGCTAATGGTGATTGTTTTTGTGAAGGCAATCAACAAACATGGCTTAACAAATGTGAAGAAATAATCTTGAATCTGGCAGCACACTATGGCCTCTTAAGTATTAGTTTATAGAGAGTAACCACGATGAAAGCTGATATTCAACACTGTTTGACAGTTTGACACTATGTATATCAGATTCTATCCAAACCCCAAATAAGCTCTTGAGAATTGCTCTCACTTTTCTTACTTCTAAAACGCTATAATTTAATTTCCTCCAGTAGATTTCCCTTGTCGCTTCAACCTTCACCTCCAATTACGAAACATTAAAGCATTTTGTAAGAAAGCTACACATGCTTACCAAAGCTCTGAAAGAAACCATGTTCCAAACCACCAGACTTGCAGCTTATATCTTCGTTTTCTCACTTTGAAAGGCTATTACGCTTTAATTGTTCTCATCAATCACTGACCAAATCCAGAATTTGCACGGGGACTGCAAGGCCAAACGTAATGCGAAACACTTTTCAGCCTTCGGTTTTTATTACCTGAGATTCTTCTGTGGTTGTTACTTTTCATGGTGGCCATTTTGCAACAAAATCAAAAAAATGTGTTCTTTCTATTCCATTTGAAAAGACCAGGTGAGTCACTTGGACTCATCATGTGACCTGAAGGACAGAACTTTTCAGTTTTTATTATTTAATACAAATCAACATAATTATATTTAATAACTCATTATAGAAAGAATCAAACGCCAACCTCAGAATCATTGCTTTTCAGTACTTTGTTGATTGCCTTCTTTAAAATTGCTTAATAGCAATCTCATAAGTGATTTTAGCACCTTGTTGAGACATAAATGAACATTTTCTACTATATTTTTATATTTAGTAATAACATGGTAATATTTGTTTTATTGGTTTTATTGAGCATTTCCTTGTACTCTTGGAGGTTAATGAAATGACAAGCTTATACAGATTATCTCCCATTTTACATTTCACACTCAGCTTCTTTTTAATGCTGCATTTTAATGGTGCACTGAACCTGTTTCTGCTGCCTCTCTCCAGCTTAGAGCTCATTGCTTTTTCCTGGAATTCCAGTGCCTATATCTAGACTGGATTAGGGACAATGATATTTAAGATTCTCGCCTAAATGTCACAGTCAATGAGTTTGACAAAGTTCACCCCTCACCGAGACGAGAGACACTCTTGGTGGGTTCACATTATCCTGCTCGGCAGACATTTAGAGAACGCTTTGTGTCAGTCGGGGTCTTGTCCTCCACCCAGGGGATGTGACATAAAGGGCGAAAATGCAGCTTTACCTGATGAAATCTTATCTGTGCCACCACTCTTTGCTTCCTGCTTTGCCTCCGATGGCAGAATGCCTGCAGTGTGTGCCAGACGAGAGTCCCAGGGCTTCCTGGGCAGAAGGGAGAGAAGGGGTCCAATGGAGCGCATGGAGTAGAAGGCTTGGTGGGAGAAAAGGTAAAAGTAACATGGTAGGCGATCAAGAACAGATGCTAGTGTACATGTTAATCTGACCGCCGTACTGTGCAACATGACACTTGTTAAATGTACTCTCTGGGATGCTTATTGAATCATTTAAGAGCATGTGTGCTTACATCCATATTAATTGTGTCTGTCGATCTTTAACAGGGGGATCCTGGTGTAAGAGGTCCCATGGGTAACCCTGGGAAAGAAGGCCCAAAGGTAGGCGAGGCAATCAGATATGAAGACACTCAGAAGATATCAAAGCACATTTTTTTTTCAAGTAATTGTTTGTGCGGATCTAAATGAATTATTCAGTTTCTTCGCATGGCTAACAAATCTGTAACACTAATGGACACTAATGGCCTCATTATATGATTTTGTTTACGGAATTGTGCGTAAATCTAATCTATAGAGATTTACATTGACATACGCTTTTCATGAATAACCTCTTAGAATAACTCAGGGAGCATAACCAGCTGTGCTTAAACCTGTATTATTCTGTATGTGCCTCGCTGCAGAAGTTGTTGCTATGGATACAATGTTCTACCATGGTTAGCCAATTTTCAAGGGGAAAATACATTTTTGAAGTTTACACCCATCAGCCTTTAGTTTTAGGCCTTTTTTATTTTTGGTAAAAAATCTTGTCTTCCTCCCTCATTGGTTGTGCTTTCCTGCAGGGAGTGAAAGGAGAGAGAGGGTTCGCAGGCCCCACCGGAGATAAAGGTGATGAGGTAAGAGAAAAAAGTTTGAGCAAACCAAATGGATCTGGTAGTTTTATAACAAGCCGCAAGTCACTGTGACATTGAGAGTTCAGTTTTTCAAAAGAATGTAAATGCATTGTAATGTCTGCCTCCTCTTAAAGCCCGTCTACACTGAAAGTGTGTTTTCAAAAGACACTATCAAAAGCTCTGCTCAGTGCTGCGTGTGCACTCTGCCCTATCTCTTGCACTCCAAGGAGCTACTTTATAAAGAACGCAGCCTGCTCCCGTGTGTGTGTGTGTGTGTGTGTGTGTGTGTGTGTGTGTGTGTGTGTGTGTGTGTGTGTGTGTGTGTGTGTGTGTGTGTGTGTGTGTGTGTGTGTGTGTGTGTGTGTGTGTGTGTGTGTGTGTGTGTGTGTGTGTGTGTGTGTGTGTGTGTGTGTGTGTGTGTGTGTGTATTAAAAAGACAAGGCACTCTTAAGAGAAGCAGGTCAACGTTCAGCATTGAACTGCGATGGTAGGAGATTCTCAACACTAGACAGAGTTGTTTATAAAACATGGCCCTGTTGAAGTTTGTTTTACATTTGCTATCATAAAATAAATAATTAATAGAAACATGTGCATTGTCATTAAAAAAAAAAAAAAGTGATATATCTACAGTATACAAATGCATAGAGGTTGTGCTGTAAACAATGGAACATTTCACAGCCTCTGCATATGAAAAGGTGCTATAAAGATAAGATGTGAGCATAGTCCCAGTAGTCATTGCAGTGAATAGAAAAATGTTTTCATTCATTCTCCAAAGTATACTTGCATGCTCTATGTTCCGTGTTATTATCTGCACCAGGCGTAAGCCTTTGGGGTAAATGTTGAGAAGATGTGTTCGGCTCGGTGTGTGTGTGTGTGTGTGTGTGTGTGTGTGTGGTGTGTGTGTGTGTGTGTGTGTGTGTGTGTGTGTGTGTGTGTGTGTGTGTGTGTGTGTGTGTGTGTGTGTGTGTGTGTGTGTGTGTGTGTGTGTGTGTGTGTGTGTGTGTGTGTGTGTGTGTGTGTGTGCGTGTGTGTGTGTGTGTGTGTGTGTGCGTGTGTGTGTGCGTGTCTCTAGTGATTGAGTTGAATCACAGTTTTTGTGAACCTATTTTATTGACTTTTTCACATCGTCTTTGACTGCTGACTTCTTTCTATTCTTCACTCTACGTCTAACAGTCATCCATAGAATAATTAGGTATCATTTTAAAACCAGAACATCTGTAGGTTTATTCAATATGAGAATTTTGATGATCCACTTAAGGTAGGCATGATAGATGAATAAATCCCCATTTGTGTCATTGATTTTAAATGAGCCGGCAGGAACAATTGAGTGGGATTCAACTCTTCTATTTTAGGTAGATAGTGATACACAAGGGGAAGATCTGCCTCTTCACTTTTCTAGTTTCATCTGATTATTGTTGCTCATTGATTCCTAGAAAGCTGTTCCAGGCATCAACACATTACGACCATTACATAACATTTTACTCCTTAAGTTTAGTTTAGTCTGTTGTGAAAAAACAATAATACTGCTGGGCCAAGTGCCCACATCACTTATTGCCCTATATATGGAAGTATTATAAAAATGTAATTTTTCCACTTTGTGTCCTACAGGGGCTTTCAGGAGCTCCAGGACTTCCTGGAGTGACCGGTCGAACAGGGTCTCAGGTAAGAAGCATGTCCTTTAATGTACTGTATGTGTACACAATATCGATTCCATTATTTCATGACAAAGTACATATTTATAGTTAAAAGTTTTTATCTCGGCATGTGTAAGTCCTTTTCTCTGCAGTTAACTTTCAACACAGGATGCTGTTCTGTTTGCAGGGGCTTATGGGTAGACCTGGGCCATTGGGGCCACACGGTGGAAAAGGGGAAAGAGTAAGTTGTTTTACTGTTTAACCATCACATGTGTACACTATATGACTATGTTTGCCAGTTTGCATGCAACATATTCAGATATATGATTAGGTACATTCTCATTTTTGTTGCTTTTTCCATTAAAATGCGTCCGTCATAAATGTTAAAGATTGATTGGCAAAATGACTAAAGGAATTTCTGTAATTAGGATGAAAAAGATAAAGATTCTTTAAATGACTTAATAATTCAGGGATTATTTTTGCTAAATTCGTTTTGTGTGTTTTTTACTCAGGGTTGGTTTATGAGATTCGATATCATTGGATTCTGTTAGAATGGGACTGTGCTTGATAAATACTTCCATTTCCATATTTAACAATTCCTCTGTTATTTGACAGGGAAATGACGGAGCCCAGGGCATGCCAGGGCTTCCAGGGCCACCGGTAAGTTCCTCCTTCCTAAGGAAGAGTTAGACGGTAATAACAAGTCTCAAGAACTCCATAAAGGTCATAGATTCTATTTCACATTACATGTACGTGTAAATAAATGTGATTGTTTTTTTGTTGCACAAACTATCCTTCTAGCCTTATGTTCAGTTGGCACATTGAACACATTTAATCATCTTGCTTTTCTCAGCACTATCCAAACCCATGATTAAGTAAAGGATGGAGCCAAAGCATTGCCTTGGCATCTCTTCCTACAGAAATGGCCATCAGTGCAGTTATATTTTTGCTCAGTACAACAGTATTCACTGTACTAAGGAAAACATAACTGACAAACAAGCACAACTTGAGGAAATTGTAGGGACCTGCTCACTGGCATAGAATCATGCTTGTACCCTTTAAAAGGCCAGTGTGTAAGCACTTTCAAAGGCAGATCTATAATTCATCAGCCGTCCCCTTGAACTGGCGGTGCCCCCCCCCCACACCCTGGTCTCATAAACTGCTCTCTGGGAGGACAGGGGATGGCTCAGTGGCCTGAAAAGGGCATAGGCATCCGCTTGCTTCCAAATGAGAACCTTGACTCCTTCTACATTTACTATAGCTGTCCTCTACCAATCTATCATGGGAAAAACACTCTTTATGTTCCACTCCACAATACCCAAGAACACTATAGTTCTCATAGCCGAATCTCTTCTAATCAGTGTGCTCTTTTGTGTTGCGGAAATACTCTGGTTTTCTGAATTAACAGTGGGTCAAGGATTATTAGTTCTACTGTTCTCTGTTTTTTCTCTTCCTTTCACTCCTCACTTTCTCGCCCACTCCATCGCTCTCTTTTTGTTTTCACCAAATGAGCTATTGATCTCTCTCATGTAGCTTTTAAGAGCTTAACAAAGTATAACTGCTCCAGACCTACTGTACAGCTTTTCTATAAAGACTCTTGGTGCCTAAAACTCACAGAGCAGTGAGGAGAGTCTCTGAGAGGAGATGTGTCAACTACTTTGTGTTGTGTTTCAGGGTGTACCTTATGTGGAGGGCAATGGGATGAGCAGTCTGTACAAGCTGCAGGTAAAGACTTTTCAAATGGCTCTCATTGTGATCTGTTGTTTGCATGTCATAGTTAAATCATTTAGCAACAAGAGGAATCTGCGCTTTTGGTTCAAATGCGTTTGACCCTATTTTGTAAGCAGTCATAAGGAAAGACACGTCTTTTCAGAGCGGTGGAGCTATGCTGGGACCCCCTGGAGCTCCTGGTGCTCTGGTAAGCATAATCATTGTTATGCCTGAAGCAAATCCTTAACAGTGTGCTGCAGAGGAACGCTAGCACACAGGCACACTGATACTGTATGAGCCAGTGAGAGCTGAATAACAAATAACTTGACCGGCCCTCCAGTGTTAACTCAGCTACTGAGGCACTATCACACTCAATCATGTTCAATGAGAGCTGGTGGTTGATCGAAGGCCAAGAGGCGTCCTGACTCCCAAACAGGTGTTTCTGACCTGCCCCAGGACACACAATAATCATTGACATGCAGAATGGACTTAGACGTTGAGTCGCTCCGCACAGTGTCGAGCTGAAGTGAGACGATTTGCTTATCAGCTCCCCCCTGCTCCGCCTTATCGGGCCGTTTGTAATCTTGTCCAGTCTCCTGGGAGACGTTCATTCACAGGCCCTGCAGGGATCCATCCAGCACAACGAACACTAAAGGCAGTGACAAAAAAATAGACTTCAATATCCCCTGTGCACAATGCACAAGAACCACAGCTCAATCTTGAGGATGCTTCTCCCTGAACTGCATCTAGCACAGCCCAACAGCTCCCCTGGAGCAAACAATAAGAGAGCATCTTCATCAGTGTTAAGAGGAGAAAAGGCTACATGTGTCATCTTTTCTTGCTTGTTTAATGTAGAAAAACACGGAATTGCTTCTAAGCATGCCTAACTAAATATCTTTAAAGCTTAATAAGACTGGATTTTATTATCCTGATCATTTTAAATCCTGCTTGAGAAAGACCTCATTCTTACCAGTCTCATATAACATGATGTTAGCATGATATACAGACAGAAATGGCGAGATAAGAGCAGCAATGATGTCTGCTATAAATTGTAATGACACTGACATACAGTAGCCGCATGATATTTGAATCTATATTAATGATTTGTATGTTGGTAGCTGTTCTTGCATTCATCGGAGTAATCTCTTTTTCTTTTTTTTCCTCTCTTTTCAGGGTCCTAAAGGAGATGACGGAGTTGCAGTAAGTTAAAACGTTTTATTCAGGAATATATTTTTGAAAAATGTTCAGTGTTCCCCAACAAAAATCAGGGTTTCCAGTAGCTTTCTATCATTGTCTCTGGTTCTTAGCAAAAGTCAATACACCCTCAAGCCTGAGCACTTAACCACTCTCAGTAGAGCTCCAACACACAGCGAAAAATGATCATACCTCCTGCAAATATGAAGCTGTTTTACGATATTGTCATGCCAGTGGGAACATGTCCTGTCCTGTCCTCCCCCACACCGATGCCGGAAAACCGTCCACGCAGACATGGAAACAATTCCGCACGTCTGCCATCAACTTGAATTCTTTATTCTCGCGGGGCCAATTGCATTTTATATTGTTTTGTTGCACAGTGATTTTTCACCAGGATGCTAATTTGACATTTTAATAAATTGTGTGAGCGGCTCCAGTGCTGTGGTGGAATTGCCCCAATCCGTCTCACAGCTGATCCTCTGGCTGGCCCACTCTCCTCTTAGTCGCACTCGCTTATTCATGACAATCTACATGTGTGACAATTACCTGCACAATCCGTCTATGTCAGCACCGGTTGCCCCTCTTCTCTGTGTAATGGCGTTTCTCCATGGCAGCCGGAGCAAGATGAGGTAGAGAGAGGCCACCAACCCTGGGAATGGGGGTCTATTTATAGTGCAGAAAGCCAGTCTGATTGTGATTGCCAAATGGGGCTCTTTTTCCTAGGTGTGACAGCAGGTGTCATAGAGCATATACAATACACTCACTTTGTAGGGTTGTCCTTTTATGATTATCTTCAAATTGACAACGAAAGGTCATATTAAAGGGGACCTATTATGCAAAATCCACTTTTTCATGTTTTTTATACATAAACATGTGCCCCTCTGTTTAAAGAGATTCTTAACGTTTCGGGAAAATAGATTCTCTCACTTTTTGTCCATTTATATAAAAACCTGTCTGAAAATGAGCTGATCAGATGTTGGCCACTTTACGATGTCATAACGATTTTTTGGCTTGTGTAACCATTAGCCAATCAGCAACCAAGGTGTATGTAGCTTTGATCTATATTTGCTTGTTTATGCGTAATGCTTACTGACAGCCTTATAATGATATTTCCTTAGCTCATCACCAAACTCAGTTCCTTATTGAGGACTGTAAGAGAAAAATAGCATTCTGGTACAAAAAGGGGCAACTAACAACCTTTAGTCTATACCAGTAGTGATTTTTGTTGTCTTGACACAGTGGGGGGTGTGTTTCTTTCTCACAGGGGGAACCAGGGGCCATGGGATTACCGGGGCTTGAAGGGCTACCCGGTGCCAAGGTAAGCAACTGTATCGACTCAGAGAAGCGTTTTATCTGCTTTGACCTAACCTGATTACAAAGTGAGGCAAAGTGCTTTCTCTGTACTTAATTCTCATTACAGAGCATTTTAAGAGGTTTTTTTTCTGAAATGAGATATTCAGCAAAAGAAACAAATGCTTCCAGTATGAACCAGAAAAGCATTAAGGGTTCCTGGTATAAGTTAATTTAAGGGAATATAATAATGTTTATAATTCAATCACTTATGGTTGAAAAAAGGATTATGGAAATGTCCGGTTTAGAGCCATTAACTGCACATACAGTAATACCACAGCAATCTGAAGCTAAATGTTATAGTTCAGTCTGCACAATGAACTGGACGCATCTTTCTTAATGCAATCTAGCACTGCATCCTCACCCAACCTAAGTCTAAATCTGTATAGAAAAGACACTTACACAAGACACTATTCCTTTAAGACTTAAATGGTTTCTGTATCCATTTATTTGTGTAAATTGGGTGAATTACAGTAACAGTGTGATATGGGGATCATATTGGTGTTGCATGGGTGTAATATTGGTCTAATAATGACAGTTTAATATGAGTGTAAAAACAGTGTTTCATGGGTGTAACATGGGTGTAATAGGGGTGTATTAATGTGTAATATGGGTTTAATAGGGTTGGAATATCAGTGTATGGGTCTAATAACAGTATAACATTGGTTTAATAACTGTTTATTTGGGTTGTATTAATGTGTAATATGGGTGTAATAATGCCATAATATTGGTGTGATACGGGTCTAGTAACAGTATAACACATGGGTATAATAAGGGTATAACATGGGTTTATTAACTGTTTATTAGGGTTGTATTAATGTGTAACATGGGTGTAATAATAGTGTAATGTAGTAAACAGGACTCAATTAATCTTCCAAATTATTGAATGCCCATGTAAGTGTTAAGGAAATATCATCAAGTGTTTGCTCTCAAAATACCAATCCAAGTCTTCATAACGAGGTTGTAAATTATAACTAAGTATTGTTTTTAAGCTTTTAAGCCTTTTTTCCTTGCATTTGTTTGAGGAGTCCAGGAGCATCCATTATAAACATGTTTATGGCCGTTTCTGACACCAGTGTCTGTGCCTACTTGACGATGATGTATGTGTATTCTTTATGGTATGTGTATGTCATCCATCCATCTCTCCCTCAGGGCGATATTGGTTTGCCTGGTTCGTCTGGAATGATAGGTCCTACAGTGAGTTTTTTCTCTTCTTCTAATTAATTTACAGTGACTCACACTCAATTGTTGACATATCATCTGTGTTGTTTCACTCTGCTGCTGGCAACAACTTTCATAAAGCCCACAGAATAACAACCAGCAAAACAGAAGTCCCTTAACACAACACCGCTTGAAACTGGGATATATACGTAGACCCGTAGTCTGTTCCCTGGATATACTGTGAAGCTATAGTAGACTTGTTGGTATATTGTGAAGCTGAAGCTGCTGTAGATATGACAACATTGAGGACCTGTCAAACACGTCTGTTTTCTTCCTGTGTTGTGATTGACAGGGGAAGCCCGGCACTGATGGAGAGCGAGGGATCCCAGGAGACTCGGTGAGCCTCAGCCTTCTAACTCTCTTTGAGCTGTCAATCCGTGCGTCATTCCTTTGTCACAGCCGACTGACACGTTGGCTGTCTCTGTTCTTCCACAGGGTGAGAGGGGGCCGCTCGGAGAGACAGGATTCCCAGGGCCCGAGGGACCCCAAGGTGTTCCTGTAAGGATGCTACACAAATGATGTTGCTCTTCCCTACGTATATAATCACTGCTCAATGATGCCAAGACAACTACACTTATGTCCAGGCCGGAGCTTCAATAACACACTGCTCTTTTAGCAGGTCATTCTACCATTATATGAGAGAAAAGAGAGCATGATTCAAGGACAATATGGATAAATGTGTGTGTTGGCGATCACTTGTCCTGTAGATGATTGCAATCCTCCGTGTAATTACCATCAGAGATGGTTTCTGTAATTTTCCCTGTAAGCACACAATGGAACAGTGTTCGCACAGCAATCAGGATCATTATCCCTTGGTTGAGATATCTCATTAACTGTGGAGATTACTAGGAGTGCAACAGTGCTGATCCAATCGAAGGTGGGGGCTAATACAAAATGTCTTTGTTTTTGTTTCACTCCTTGAGCAGGGGAGACCTGGAAAAGATGGAACTCATGGAGAAAAGGTGAGTTGTGCGAACACGTTTCAAATCCCCTTATAGACAGTGCTTTACATCCGCCGAGCTACAGAAAGTTGGCTCAGCAGATTTGTATCCCCCCACCTCAAGCTACAGCCTCCTGAGTGCATTAAAGCTATTTGCATATTCGAGATTTTAAAGGATAAAAAACGAAGTCAAATCCTGCAGATTCGAGGCTTTGTTGACTTTTAGTCTTTTTACCCTAATTATACAGCTTTTAGGCAATGATAAAATGTTTGTAAAAGAGGGAAGCAGACACTTAGATTAAATATGCATTTTCCTGCCTGATGAACCTGGCAGAAATAGAAACAAATACTGCGGCAATGTCTGCTTTTAGCTAGTTCATCAAACATATTAGAGGCGTTTTACTTCACAATCACACAGAATGGGCTCACAGCATGCAGAACACATTTGCCCTGAATAGCCATTACCAGACCATTATAGAGTCCAATAGAAAACGGGTTCCACTATGAAAATGACTGTTTTGCTGTGTCTGATTTACAAGATATTTTTTCCCTTTAATGACAACCCCTACAGTTTATTGTTTGCTTATTACTATTAGTTGGTATTCTTCCACCAGAGTCTCAGCATTGCACAAAGCCTCATACACTTGTATCCTGTTTTCCTGCATTAGTGCCTCATTGTTCCGTGGGACAACAGTGCCATCTAGCAGGCGGCTTTCCCCCTTTCTACCGAGACTCATCGCACACTGCTTTGAGGTTTCATGTAATGCTCATGGAAGCACATTTCACTGGGCAAGATGATCGATTTAAGCCTCATTTTTAAGGCATTGGTGAATACAGAGTAGCACAGATTAAAGCAGGCAGGGGAGAACAGCATCACAGAGAGATGCCCGTTAGAAAACCACATCATGCCAGATTGTCTTTTGCATGGCTCCCATAATTCAGCAGGAAATTGATACAAAGATGCTCCCAGGGGTATTGCTGTGAGCACCGTAAAGGGAAGCAATGAGGAGTGACAGGGAAGGATTGGAAGACACAGGATATTGTGACATGAAGCCAGAGACAGGTACTTTCTCTGCCAGCTACCCTCATACAGTAGAGGCAGCTGCTGGGAAGGCGATGCAGAGAAGCCGTGACATTGCAGAAGGTGAAATACTCTTACAGGGAGATTTTATACAAGCAATATACCTGAGCTGACTGAGAAGCAATCAATGCACAGTCATCTGAAAAGTGTACATTTCTCAAAGTCAAGTAATTCAGGAAAAGCTTGCTCAAAGTTTTGTCTCGAGGCAACAGAACAGGCAATTCTGCAAATATGATGGTAGATATGAGAAATATGATGGGTTTAAATAATAGAAATCTCTGCTCTGCTTGTATGGATAACAATAAAGGAGAATGATGTGTGCCCTGGCTTAACATCAATACTTTGTCAAGAGTGGGTGAAAAGTTTTAGGGTCAGCAAACTTTATTTTCCCAATTATTTAGAGGTGTTATCTTTTCTTGTGACTAAACTATGTATCATCTGCTTTTTTCATAGGGAGTTACAGGTACATCAGGAGACAGGGGATCCAAAGGAGAGCGTGTAAGTAGCGTCATCCCTGATTTCCAAAAAAGAAAACTGTTGGTATGACTCACACTTAAATGCATAACAACAATGTTGTGATGAATAGTAATGAAAGTCTTCACTTCGGCACAAATATGACTAATCCGCACGTAAGAACTAAATAAAGGCATTTACCGCTCGGTGCAGTTTCCCATTGTATTTGCAAGGCTAAATTAAAGCGCTCAGTCACACTCAAGCAGTAATCTATTGCAAAATGAGGCTTTTAGCTTTATAATTGGCAACCGTACCTCAGGACAAGTTTTCATCAATATATCATAGGTCTCAGATATACAAAACATGTCTCTGAGGTGTTTGCCTCGAAATACCAAACAGATCGTGCATTGTAGCATCCCATAATCCCCTCTGTTTCAGCTCTGTTTCAAAAGTGCTGATTCTGTTACTTTAGATAAAAATAAGGAGCCCCTCCCCACGCCCCTCTGAGAGATATTTGGTTAAAAAGAACACAATGGTGCTCTAGGAGGAGATTCAGGTGATAAGGTGGGGGGGGTTGTTTATTGGCCTTGGTACCTTGGTTGGTTATTGGCTAATGGTTACACAAGCCAAAAAAACATTATGACATCATAAAGTGGCCAAAATCTGATCAGCTCGTTTTCGACAGGTTTTTATATAAATGGATCAAAACAAAAAGAGAGAGAATCTTTTTTCCTGAAACTTTCAGAATCTCTTTCCACAGAGGGGACACATGTTTATGTATAAAATACTTTTGCATAATAGGTTACCTTTAAGTGATAATGATGAGTCACGCGGGGAAATAGTGGCTGAGACATGTATGGACTCCTTTCCTGCAGGGGGATCCCGGTATTCCTGGAGAAAGAGGGGTTCAAGGCGAGAGGGGGCGCTTAGGAGATCCTGGCCCGCTTGGACCATCCGGACAGAAAGGAGATTCTGGCGCTCCAGGGACATTTGAGAATGCTAACCTCTTGGTAAGATAACTTTGATCAAATACACACTATCTTTCCCCGTAGATGATCAAAACCTCCATCAGCCTACTTCCTCCCTGAGCTTGCGAAAGTAGTTCAGTTCTCATATGGAAGAAATGGTGCAGCTACATATTTTTGTGTGAAACATCAAACCAGGCTTTGTTGGGGAGGTTGCTGTACTCTTTCTGCTGAGCGCTTCCCACTCCTCATGCAGGCAACAGAAGGTCAGAGAGGGAGAGAGATGGAGACAGAGAGAAAGACAGATATGTGGGCGTGCCTGGAGCTCAGCAGAGCAGTGAAAACACCTCCGTGTGTCACAGACATTTTACACATACTCAATGCAGTCACAACTGTTATATAACAGCAGAGATTGAATCTGTTTGGAATGAAGGAGAAGTCCAAAGCTACTGTTGTTTGCCTATTTTACCCTGAAAAGCTCAAACCGCTTTTGAGAGATATACTGAACAAAAATATAAACGCAACACTTTTGTTTTTGCTCCCATTTTTCATGAGATGAACTCAAAGATCTAAAACATTTTCTATATACACAAAATAACCATTTCTCTCAAATATTGTTCACAAATCTGAAAGAATCTGTGATAGTGAGCACTTCTCCTTTGCCGAGATAGTCCATCCCACCTCACAGGTGTGGCATATCAAGATGCTGATTAGACAGCATGATTATTGCACAGGTGTGCCTTAGGCTGGCCACAATAAAAGGCCACTCTGAAACGTGCAGTTTTGCTTTATTGGGGGGGTCCGAAAACCAGTCAGTATCTGGTGTGAGGGTTAGGGTTAGGGTAATGTTGTGAATCGAGTGGCCTGTGTTCGTCGTCCATAACATACGCCTGCCCATACCATAACCCCACCACCACCATGGGCCACTCGAAAAGTGTTGCGTTTATATTTTTTGTTCAGTGTATATATTGTCATACAGTATATTCGCCTTGATAGAAGAGGCATGCAGATGAGAAGCCACTCTTTATATCTGAAGCACAGAGGGCTTTACGACAGAAATGGACAGAAAGTGACACCTGGAAGTCTCTTTATAGAGTCATAATACCTCATTTTATATTCCCAGGCTCAATCCATTTGACTTCTAGCTGGATTTAAGGCGCAGATGTGATATTACAATGCAAGGGGGGATTTCACTGAATAGTTAGAAAATAGATTTTTTTTTTTTAGATAGAAGTCAATTTCATTTTCATGCTGCCAGTTAATTTCTGAATGAAATATGTGTCTATTCTTCTCCTTTCCACGCACAGGGTGATCCCGGCTTCATTCAAGAACTCAAAATGCTCATCAGAAACGAAGTATTAAAGGTCTTTGAAGGTACAAATGATCCCAAATGAAAACGTTCCATAGTTATTATTCAAGGATTTCTCCGTTTTGAATGTGAGTTGTTTCATTTTGGTACCTTGTAGAGAAGCTATCGAGCTCTGCCGTGCCACAGAAGACACATGCAGGGATCCTGGCTTCACAAATCCACGGGCCTCCTGGAGCTCCTGGGAAGGACGGATTACCCGGAACACCAGGAGAGCCCGGACCTCCTGGTACTCATGGTAAGAGCTCAGGCTGCCAAACTCAACTGCTGGACCATCAACTAAGAAAAGATAACCACTTTTGTTGAAATGAAAATAACTTGTAACCTTTGATTGCTCTCAACCAGACACTTACAGTAACCCTTTGATATTTGTACCCACGAAACATGTCTATTGGTGTTTCCTTCACCAATGAGTCCGCACCACACATATTCAAAGCAAGCAGGAAATAGTGAACTGCAACATTATTTTCTGTATATAAAGACTCAGGATGAAGCTGGAATTGGATGGGGGCTACCAATAAAGGTTTGTATTTTGGGGATTCATGGGTATTTTTCTCTTGCTTAGACCCGTTTATCAATGCAGACTGAGGGGCGGGAAGCAGAGGAAAAAGGCCTGGAGTGTGGTGCACAGCGGCTCTGGGAAATATGAAGACAAACGAAGAATTGGCTGTGAATAAGAGAAAGCATTATCAATGTGGACAGGACAGAGCCCCAGTATTGATACCTCACTCCGGGGAAGAAAGCCTCTAAAGTAGAAAAGGAGCATAGTCAGGAAAGAGGGTGGACGTTCTTTTATCAGACTGATGACTTTCTGACTGCTGCAACACTAATGGTTTGCTGGTCAGGCTTTATACCTCAAACTCGCTTAGAATAGTATTGTGTCCGCAGCAGAGCGGTGTCTTAACTTTTAAGTGTGTTACGTTGTTGGTGCAGATCAAAAGCATCACTGCATTGGCCTTTGTTCTTAAGCTATATATCTACCTCACATTAATCAAGACCATGTACACTTCAACCCACTGCTATGATATAAAATGCTGTTTTCATTTCATTCATGAATAATGTAGTTAAAGTAGGCCACTACTGGACTATAAATATGTGTGCTGTGATAATGCCTTTTGCATTACACATGTCTTTGATTTCATTCAGCTTGTTGTATTTTTTTAAGCTTCCAAAGAGTGTATTATAGGTGTTTCGTAATGCAGCTTTGCAATAAATATGTATTGAAAACAAAGAGGAACGTTTTTTCCCTTGGTAAATCAAAAATTCAACAACTTCCCTTAATTTTTTCTTTGTTGACTTGTGCCTCCACTCAGCTGGGGAGAGAGTTTGGGGTAATATTTCCTCATTATGTCTCATCATCCTCGGCTGGAGACTGTGCTTCTCTGAAATATCCAACTTGACTTATTCTCCAATATGCCAAAATGAATTGTTTATGGAGAACAATAACCCCTCTGTTGAGTTCTTTTTTTCTTTGTTGTTTGACTTCACATGGGTGAAAGTCTCAAGCTGTTTAAGAACACCCATTGGGACGCATGCTGATCATTTCTTTTTTCTTTTTTTTATCCCATTTCCCTATGTTATAATTGACTGCTCATTTATCATTCTATATTCATGTATTACATTTGAGAGCGTAAGGAGAAATCATGTAAATCCTTTGTATTTAAGTGCATTTCATAAATAATTTTGATTTTAACATTCTTTTTTGTTTTATTTTGTATTCTAGTGCGTTCTGTTTATGTATCAATACTGAAACAAGTGTTTTTTATTATATCTGGCTGTGTTTTGGCGCTGCAATGCTTTGTCCTGTACAATATGGAAATATCAGTAAACATCCCGCAGTAATTGGCCTTTGATGGAGCAGCTGCTCAAAGAAAGGTGTTCTTTCTTTCTTTTGTAAAGCCGAGCATGGCAGAATAAATAGATGTAGCACTGCAATCCTATCAATCAAGCATGAAGAACCACTCTCTGGCAATAATATTTTCTATTAGCGCATTTTATCCATTAGTGCCCGAGAAAAAAAAAATGTTCAACCAAGTGTAGTATGGAGTTTTTGATTTATCAGAGTGCACCAATCCGGCGTGCCACCCAAGCTTATTGCCCTGTGTGCTATTCAGTATTTTTTTTGCTTAAGGTACAGTGCTCTTTTCTTCATGGATCGTCTCCTCCCTGAATGAATGCCCCAGGCCCTGTGAGTGTTGAAAGAAGTCTCATTATTGTGGCAATGTGTGGATAGCCCCCTCTCTCTTTTGAGACTCGGTTTTGGAGCATTCATAAGCCTTTTTTCTGAGATTTTCTCTGACATGTAAGCGTCGAAGCGTTTCCCCTTTGGGCCAGGCGGTGCGATGCTTGATACTCCTCCTGTCAATGTTTCTGATGCACTCCATGCAACCGCTGTTCCTGAGACTCCATTACTTTAAGTGCCTCATGGGGAAATATATTTCCCAGCCCCTGAAATTCTTACTGGGTATGCTGCTTGTTTTGTACTGCAAAGACTCAGCAGCTTAGCATGGAGTGAGAAAGCCTTTCAATAACATGTTTGTGTGCTCAATGTTCTACACAACGCACTTGCTGGCCTTGAAGATGAGTGTTAATGCTTTGATTTGATTTATTTGACTCATCATCATGTCTTTGACGTTTCAAGCATGTCCTTGTGTTATTTCATCTTGGAGGTAATCATGCAGAATCAAATCAGCATAGCAGAAAGCCTTTTAAAATGAGATGAATTAGCTTTCTCTCTGTGGTCAAACAGAATGAAAAAAAGATTAATGATCATGTTTATCCTCCCGTTAAATGACGTCTATTGTAATGAATAGATAAGATTGTTTTCTGCATCTGTTTGTTTTTAAATGGTACATGTATTTCTCTGAATGCCTTGAGAGAGCAACATATCCGACCTTTGATTGAAAAAAAAGCTATTTTCTTCTTCAAAGACTTGCGCTCGCGGCCATATTGTTGCCAGAGAGCTGTACACGCCTCTTTCGTTGGACGCTAACGTTCAGATGGCTTGTTTGATGATTTCCATTTTGACAGGATATCAGTAGGTCTTTCATTATTCAAAAGGCTGGGATCGAAACTGGGATTCCTACATTAACTCTTAAAGCTGCAGGCTTGATGCTGGACATTGCGAAACGTATTGTTCATATCTATATCATCAAGAAGCCACATTGTAGAAGTGCCTGGGAAGATACAAAGATTTCGATAAAGGCATCCAATGGGAAAAGTAGTTTTTTTAACATGTTTGGGCATTTGTACTAATCTCACTAACTGTGGTTCCGCACTCCGTAAACACAACACCGCACACTTGATGTTGACAGTATCTGTGCTCAGCCCGAGTGTTGTGTCTGTCCTCAGGGTACAGGGGGCAGAAAGGAGAGCGGGGTCAGCTTGGTCTGGGGTTACCAGGAGATCCAGGAGCCACGGGGCCACCAGGTAAGAGACATCTTAAATCGTACACTAAACTTGATGTAATCAGTGTATTTTGTTACAGGAAGCAAGGACGAATCCAAGAGAATGTGTTTTAAGTTATTTTGCTTTGCATTGGAGACTTTGTGACCCACTGCGAATTCATAGAACTTTACGTCAAAGCGGACCATCAATATGTTTATAGTAACAAGGGTTTAAATGAGTGTTTGTCTAGTGAAGGGTGATTCATTTTTGATCAACCAACAAAAACTGGTGAACATAGACAGTCAAAATGCTCCTTAAAAGGGATGTTTCCCTCAGGAGTTGGTGGAGACCAAAAATGAGCTAAAAGGAGAGCAAAGTTGCTCTGTATCTTCAATTATATGGCAAGAAAGATCAGAAAGTATCTGCCCTTCTGGTATGCTTCGATTTTAGCCCATTTTTCACTGAATGACCCCCTGTCTCCTCCACATCTTAGTTTATTACGTTTCCTACCTGTCTACTGAAAAGAAGGACATGAAGTGAAACTCAGTAAACATCAGTTGTGTCAAATCTCCAAGCTCAAATGTATTTCAGCCTTCATGTGGAATCTCAGCATGTTGGAGATAAAAGCAACTCTCAGATACCTTTTGTAAAGACTCTGACACAAATTGGACCACAACAGAGGACAAAGTGCTGCAGAGATGGAGCAATGACGTCCGTCCTGTACTGTTAAAGCTCAGCCTTATGTGCTGAGCAAAGTGTCTCTTAAAACGACCTAAGATGTCGGCTTGTCCCCTGCTCCCGTGAACTAAGAAATAACTCCCTACCCTCCAACGGAGCCATGACTTCAGTCCTTTGACAGCAGGAGTATATCACTGACCCTAAAGTCACTTATACAACTATGTGTGTGCATAATGCATGTGTGGGGCCAAGGATAACACAAATCAGTGGCTCCTCTGGAGAGAACTAATCTAGGCTGTTGAAAGACATTATTTCCAGGGGCGTACAGTGATAGGAAGCACCTTCGGCACAGCTGCTGGGGTTAGACTTCCACTGTGTTCACATCTCGGTAAGAGTCAGAAAGTTTACCAAACTGCTGGGAGGAAAGTGCCACTGCGTCTGTGTTCCCTGGGCAGTTACTGTAGTCCCTGTACAGCAGAAACATATTTCTACCAACCAAACCTCCCGTCACCTGTTCATCATGATGAGTGGTAACTCGTACCCCTCGACACATGGAGCAGATTTAACCTACAGCCTACAGGTCCATGGAGAAACATGGCGTTTCACTGGAAGAAATACTGTATATATGCAGGTTGACCACAATGTCCATTTCCTGTCATTGCTTATAACTCTTTTTACCAGATAGACTTTGATGTCATAAATGAACTATGTGTTATAGATAAATATATAAGCAAAAATATAACCAATGCAGGTATGGAAACATATTGGCGGTTTCTATGATGCCCATGTCTATAATGCATTTAAAACCAACTTATCAAGAGTTAAAACCTGCTTATACTGTAGCACTTTTATATTAACCGACTTGTATTTTAATCGCACTCATACATATTAACTATGCCTTATAACACCAATAATAGCACATTTTAAAGCATTATTACTTATAAGGACAAGTATCAAAAGTTCATATTTTCTAGTGACTCACATTTTAGATGAATTATGTGTTATTACCTTAACTTACAATGACCACTAAAAGTGACTTATAATAATGATATAATAATAACTATTAATGATAACATGCATTTGACTTAAAACACCCAGTGACCACTTTTAGTTACTTATAATCACATTTCAATGCTTTATTACAATGATTCTAAAAAAACATTATAACATATTGGGAACTATTAATAACGCTATGGTTTGTTAAAAAAATAAATCTGTTTGTGACAGTTATGAAGCTTTATGATACTTTTAGGTTATATAAAATGCTTTATAATGTTTTACGATGGTGGTTTTAAAGCACTCTAAGTGTTTTTAAGTGTACAGTTAGATAGATTTTAATGCACCATACGTTTTTGTATAATTAAATATCGACATTTGAGATAAGTATTGTGTGCCTTTGCTCTGGTGTTGACAGCACAAAGCAGCACAGTACTGAGGACAGTTTTGTGTGAGAGCAGTTTAGCAGGAGATGGATGTGTCGGTGATGGGAAGGGCAAGTTGTGTTTCCAGAGGGAGGAAAAAGACGAGGCTGTAACTGCGGTTCCTGCTGAATGAAGAGCAGAGGAGGCACTTTCCCCGCTGTGACTGATGTAATGGACATGGAGGGGTTTTATAAGCTTAAAGAGATGTGTCACAAACACAAATCATCCCTGGTCCTTGTGTTTGTATGACAATGAAGCTGTATCACTTCAGCAAGCTGTTGCTTAGTAACATGATACACTAATGTCTCATCTGCAGTGATGACGTCATAGTGGAGAAAAAGGAAATGTACTTTCTTTGTCCTTCATGGCCGTTATGGTGAAACAAATAATTGTGTCATTTTAAATGAAACATATTGCAGGTATTAAACATTGCTGTTGAAGTAAAGTAAAATGATAATGGTAAAGGAGAATATAGAGAAGGATTAATATCATACCGTATATCAGAATGCTTTTCCAGTATAGATAATGTATGCAAAATCGCATCCATTAAATAAAAATGTGTATTCTCCATCTACATCAACAGTTTAGGTGAAAATGTGGATGAAGCTACTTTACATTTTTATGTGGATGATACCGTGATGTACTGTGCAGGTCCCTGCTGGTGTTAAATTACAGGCTGTTTTTAACATTATTCAGACTCAGCTCTCTGAACTAAAGCTTCTTTTAAATGTTGATAAAACCAAGGTAATGCTCTTTTCTAAAGCTAAAAAGACACCAGAGCCTGTTTTAGATATTGTAACTACGCAAGGAATAAAACTTGAAGTGGTTACCTGTTACAAATACCTTGGTATCTGGCTTGATGATTGTCTCACTTTTAAACTTCATGTCAATAACCTGCTTAAAAAGCTGAGGGTTAGACTAGGTTTCTTCTACAGGAACAAGTCCTGTTTCTCGCTTGAGGCCAGGAAAAGGCTAGTCACTGTGACCTTTTGACCTGTGCTGGACTATGGTGATCTGATCTATATGAATGCACCTGCCTATTGCCTGGTCAAGTTAGATGCTGCGTATCACAGTGCACTGAGATTTGTGACAAACTGTAAAGCATTAACTGATCACTGTACCCTGTATGCAAGGGCTGGTTTGCTTTCACTAACTGTACGGAGGCTCAGTCACTGGTACATTTTTATATACAAAGCCATGTTAGGGAAACTTCCATCTTATATCTGCTCCCTGATCTCACGGAAAATTGTAAGTGGCTACTGCCTGAGATCGAATGCTGTGGTTTTATTAAATGTGCCAACTGCTAGGACCGTCTTAGGGAAGACAGCTTTTCGATGCGCAGCTCCTCTGTCTTGGAATAGTCTGCAAATTAAATGGAAACTGAACAATCTGGTGCCACTAAATGTTTTTAAAGCTCGGTTGGATGCTACTCAATCGGAAGCTGTTGGTACCTGTTTATGTGGATAATTATGTAAATGATGCTGTATGATGTCCTTTTGTTGTTCTATTTATGTTTGTATGTTTCATGTGGAACTACTTGAGCAGGTCTCCCTTGAAAAAGAGATCAATGATCTCAATGGGATTTGTCTGTATAAATAAAGGTTTGAAATGAAATGAAATGAAATGATCTATGTTCACTGCAATTAACTGTGTTGTACTACTTCGCTTAACAGTCTTGTTCTAGTTTGTTAAATGTTTTTTTCATTATTATTCTAGATATTATATTCTAGATATTTGCCTTATTGAATGGCTTTAATGATACAACTTCTTAAATGTATTGTTTATACACGTTGCATTAGTTACCAAATCGGTTTATCAACTCAATGGTTTTAACTCGAAATCAAATTGTCACATTATGATTTCACCTGAAAGTTGGACAATTGAAATTCCGATTACTACCTTTCAGTAAAGCCTGTTCAATGAGAAGAAATCAACTCATCAGTGCTCTGTGGTGGCCATACTGTGTAATGTTTTGTATAATGGTGTCAATTTCTTGTTAGTTATCCAACAACACATACACCAGTTACGATATTCCTGCAAAGCGCTAATACCAGCAGATATATCAACCTGATGTATTGGGTCTAGCTCTAGCAGAAATATCTGCAGTGGATGTATACTCTGGCCTTCTCGCATTATGAACTATCTCTTTGTATTTCCACACAGTGTGTCACTCCACTGAGCCATGATAAAGTGCAGCCCGGCCCAGGAATTAATAATGTCTAATTCTCTGTCCAGGCCCCCCTGTGACCACTCCTCAGGGCCCTCCTGGCTCTCCGGGGCCCCGTGGACCCCCTGGGAACTGTGACCCAGGTGACTGCCTACTTCCATCCCTGTGAGCCCAGCGGAGCCGATTGGAAAACCAACGTCAAACTCCGGACCTACAACTGACCTCTTTTGCTCACGTTACAAACACGTGGGGATGCAGTCAGGATTGTTCCTGTTCTTGTTGGGTTTGTTTTAAATTGGATAGAAAACCTTTGAGGGTTTTTGTTGTTTCTTTCTGAAATCCTGTACTTCTTGTTTTCACATCCCCTACTGTGATGCATTCCTTGTCAACTCTCATTATGTCTTTCAAGACCATGAAATGACTTTGTTTCATCAGTTCTGTCGGAAAAAAATGATCTTAATAATTAATTGTTTGCCTCCTTAATGGGCATGCCTTTTCACTCTTCTGTTCTTATTCAGATAAGCCAATGTGCTGGCAGAAGGTACATCTCAAATGTGTGCGTTTGTGTGCAAGCGAGAAAGAGATTAGCTGAATGAATAAACTTGTTTTATGTGGAGGTGTGAGAAAATAACAGATTTGTGAAGCTCCTTATGCAACCAAAGTGCAGCAGATGTGTCGGATATGGAAATTATTTATTTCAAGCGTGTTATTCAAGAATATATTTAAAGAGGGTACTTATTATTGTAGTAAATGTAGCATGGATGTTCAGTAATAGTATTACTAGAAGGAGGATTAATACGTTTCTGGATTACTGAGAGTTGCGTTTGATGAAATCATCACTCATGACACATTTGCATTGTGCACGGTAATCTTTTTTTTCACTGAATCTGCAGTTTTATAATTGATAAAGACGTCTTCCTATTTTCTGTAGGTTACGTGTCGGTACTGAGCGCCATACCTTTTGCAGTACAAAAACCTACAATTCATACTTTTACTGAGACTACTGTGTTTGTAAGACATCCATCCATCAAGGGCAGATTCAAAGAATGTAATTGTAAATGATTTGTTTGAGTGTGACTTCACATTCGCCTTATTGTCTGTTTAATCTGTACATACGTTGAGTGATTGTGGTTTTTATTTTTGATTTATTTCTTCCTTTCTTATGGGGCTTGTGATGGGACCTGGCGACCTTGAGAGCCTTGAAAGGCGCCTATATAAAATAAATGATTTACCTGATCATTTTTACATAAGCAAGTTGTCATTGTAGTGACACATTCAGGTTCTCACTTTGTTATCAATGTGTTTGTCTGAGATGATAATGTAACATTAGCTGTTTACATGGTGTTGTGTATGATGATTCCTAAATATTTTTGATTTGTTCAACCACTCAAAGGAAGTCGGACGACTACACTACAACTTCAGACTTTTTTTGGTGAATTATTTACTCATAAATCTACTTGAAGTTTCTCGCTGTTTGTTTTAAAGGGGCCTTATTAAGCTTTGTGCGGTTATCCCCTTCCTGTTATGTGTTATATCTGTGCATGTAAATGGTCAGCAAAGGCTAAAATCCCAAAGTTCACGCCACATGGAGTTTCTTCCCTCCATTGGACTCCTTTGTTTACTTCTGTAACATAATGACATCACTATGTAACACTCGCTCTTCTATTGGCTAGCGCTTCAAGACATTGTACGTGATAGACATGTCACTGTGAGATGTTTCCATGCTTGACAATGTCTGAGTAGAGGCACACAATATAAAATGAACCTGAAAATGAGCATAATAGGGCCCCTTTAAAGACAAGTCTACATCCTGGTCTTTCACTCACTGACCACCACTGTGTCACTATAATGTCTGGTTTTGTGGTGTCTTGTGACTGGAGTTTGGATTTATTTATTTACTGTAACATAATGTTTTATTGTCATTGTAATGTTACTAGAGAAACATTTTGAGTTCAACCCTACCTAAACAAGCCTTCTGAGTTTTCTTATCCAGAAACTCACTACAACTGCACATTTGCAGACCTTCATCAGGACAAAAGTTAATAAAGCATTCAAACTTTAACATTGAATGTCCTGAAATGTATTTTACATTTTCTCAATCTTTTTTTTCAAGTGCTGTTTAATGAGAGTTTGACTCAAAGGCTTTACAAATGTTTAATGTCCTGCTGTGATTTATGTCTGAAAAGTTCTGTGGGTGTATCTGACATTTTGTGACGTTGTAAGAACTCTCTTCTTTCTGCGTTGCATCCTTTAAGATCTGTTTGAGACTTTTAACTTCATTTCCACATCTTAGACCGTCATCAAGCTTCTCTTACACATATGAATTATAACTTGCATCTTCCTCTGAAGCTGCAGAGCATTTTTTAATACTTTTCTCAGCATGCGGGCTTGGTTTTTATCCCTGCTAAGTTTTATCAGTGTGAGTTGGTCTAATTTCAGATAGTAGTAAATCAAATGTGTGGAGCTGACTTCATTTGTGAGTTGAAAGAGCCCCCTGCTGGACATATATTTAATGTTTCATTGCTTGTAATGTGGAAGGACAACATCAATGGGTTCTACCCTACATAAATCCCCTTCTATTGGCTTCTGTCTTTTCATCATGCAAATTTTTCTTTTTCATATTCTATTTAATGGGTTACCTTAACAATAACGCCGACCTTGACCAAATGAAATGAGGCAGCATCAGCGGGAATATGTGATCTGAACTGTTTTGGTGTACTGATGAGAGCAACTCTCTGCAAATATTGAATTTAGCTTGAATTGACATTAATATGCGTCACTTTTCTGGCGTCAATTTAACTTAACAGGGGAATGATAACTAGGGAGGACACAGCATGGCCGCTGTTGTCACTGCCTACTTTGCGAGCAATTTGGAGCCGGCCATTTTAACATTGCTCCGATTTTAAATCCAGTTAGTGGGAGATGTCAGATGAATGCAAATTAGACAAAGTGTTTTTATGTTAAATCAAATGTGGTAATACATCCAAAAAAAGACAATACATATTTCATTATTGCTTTCTTTTTGTTTAACAGTAATGTAAATTGATCCTGTTGCCACATTTAATCTAATCTTGTAAATAAGCTTGTAATGAGGGGGAATATGGATCAGCCTCTCAGCACGGTCCCTGGGATTAAAAATGTCCGCCTGCTGCTCTCACTGTTGCTCCTCTATAAGCTCATGTCGTGTTGTGGGACTTTAATGTGTGTTCATTTCGTTGGATATCTACCTCAGTCTTGGTTAACCACAAGTCTACATGATTAGCTATGTTGGAGAGAAAGAACATCACAACACAAACTGTTGCCTTTTACTGAAAGAAGCAATTGAACCTCATGTGTGTGTAGAAACAAAGTGGACTTATATATGTGGTGACCAGGTATCAGAGGTTATATTTACACTTTTCTTTGCAGCATCCTTTATTTACACTGATTAATGGCACCTGCCTTACCTGTGTGCAATAAATGTTACTCAGTGCTTTATCTCTGGTGTTCTTGTGTTATATGTTCGGGCACTACACAGCCTTAGGTTAGAAGATTTCTTATTGTTTCATATGGGGTTATGTTTTGAATATGAAGTTAGATTTTATAATTATTGGTGGTTTAAAGGTCCCCTATTATACTCTTTTTCACCAATATATTTTAGATATATATATATATACAAAACATGTCTCTGAAGTGTTTGGCTCGAAATACCAAACAGGTCATGCATTGTAGCATCCCATAAACCCCTCTCTTCCAAAAGTGTTTATTATGTGTCTGTAGCTTTACATTATAATGAGCTGCTGCTGGCCACGCCCCTTTGAGAAAAGTTTGGTTTAAAATACAATGGTGCTCTAGGAGGTGATTCAGGTGATAAGGTGCGCGGGTGTTACCTTGGTTGGTTATTGGCTAATGGTTACACAACCCATAAAAACATTGTGACATCACAAAGTGGCCACAATCTGATCAGCTAATTGTCAGACAGGTTTTTATATAGATGGATCAGGACAAAAAGAGAGGGAATCCTTTTTCCTGAAATGTTCTGAATCTCTTAACACAGATGGGACACAATTATGTATTAAATAAATGAAAAAGTGGATTTTGCATAATAGGTGGCCTTTAAGTTCATCATTATATAATGAGGAAAAACGTACAACCCAGGTTTCTTCGTCCAAGCATTAACTGTGATTTTTGGCATATCCACTATAAACATTAAAATTAAGATGCAAGGATAAGATTGAAAGCTTTTTTGATAAGAAAAGTAATTAGATATGAAAATGGCTTTTGACAAAACAATCTCACCTTGATGTCCATAGCTGTTCTGATCTTTTCATCTCATCACATGGCAGCAGATGAGGTGTTCACTTTTGTCATGGAAATTTAGATAAAGAGAGATCCCACAAAGGGCCCACAAACAAGGGACATTTGAGCATTTACATTTCTAGAAATTGGCAAACTCCATAAGATGATGTAGATGACGGGATGTGATCTAAAACTCCAGTATTTTTATTTTAAGTTTTGGAAAAAACAATAGAGAACATCGATTTTGCATTTCCTTGGATTTATCACAACACGTTATATCATCACAAAAGGATACCAGTATACAGAATAAATTAAACACTTCATGTGTTGTCTTCTTTATTTGTAACATTAATGAGGTTCTGCCTCATCCCTAAAATATATTTCCATATATGCATGACTGCACACATCAAGTTGTTTTGTAGGAAATATAATGAACCACAATTCAAACATTATTTTTTTTACAGATTTACAACATTTTCAACAAAGTGAAGTCAGTGTGACTTGATGACATTTTTATCCTCTCTCCTTTTTATTTTTAACAAGGGGGCTGAAGACAGTCAGACAGGTAGACATTATATTTAAAAAGGGGTTTCATCAAGTGTATCTTTGGCACATTAGCATATACAGAACTACATGTTGAAAAGGCACTTAAAGCAAACAAGCTGTGGGTGGTTGTTTGAAGTGTTCTGTGAAAGTGGAGGGGCTGTTATTTAAGAGAACTGTGAAACAATTACAAAGAGGCACAAGGAGAGCCGGATAAATAAACAGTTCTAGTCATTTCATATCTTCTCAGAAAAGAACACTTTCCTGAAAATACACCAGCACAAGCTGTTATTGCGGCACATAAAAAACAATTATTGAAAGGTTTTTATGAAGAGGCTGGCTCATTGTGATGGAGATGCCACAATACATGCTCACAAACTAGAGGTTAAGTGATGGAAGGCACCACAAAACCGCAGGCCCTGGGAAGAACGTGTGAAAAATGTTGTGTGCTCAGGAGAGCTGATCCATCAGTCTTTCTGTCTCTGCCACAGTGGCTCTTTAGTTTCCTGCGGGGCCCTTCACATCCACAAGCTGGGCTCCTGGCTGGAGGTTGCAGGATGACGGGTCGCAGTAACCGTTAGGACCGGCTGACCCGGGAGGCCCAGGAACGCCGGGCTGTCCGTGGATCCCAGGAGGTCCTCTTTGCCCGTCCCGACCGTCCTGACCGTAGCCAGGTTTGCCAGGCTCACCTGTGGACGCAAACATAATTTTAAGGTCAGGTTCCCACAGTCAAAGGCCCCCATATTCTATGGAAGCCCATAGGGGACTTTTCTTTCTATTTCTATTCAAATTGAATTTGAGAATAATAAATCATTTAGGAATAGCATTGTAACTTGTTCCCATATGTATGCTTTTTTTGAGTAAATGCAAAAATCCAAATCTTATTTATGAATTCCTTCGCATACTCCTATGGCTGTTCTTGGACAATATTACATTCTAAATAAATAAAGCTCTTTGATATTATATTTTAAAACTCTACTATACTGTGCAACTGTTAATTTAAATGTCTCAACTACGTAACGTAAACAATGTAATCCAATTTTGCATTTATGCAAATCCCCTATGGGCTTCCATGATATACATTCTCAGAGTTTGTGGTTGTCATTTCCTGTTGTTAACACCACCTTTAAGACATCTGAACTTAAGTCGATAAGGGGGACAAATTGACCTTCAGAAATGATATTGTCGTATATAGCTTTAACATCTTAAAGGCCAAGCTGTACTCACCAGGGAGTCCGGAAGCTCCTGGCTGACCTTTAGGTCCTCGAGCAGTGGGCCCTCTGGAGCCTCTGTCTCCCAGTTCACCTGTAACACACATTTTGTTATAAAGATATCTGTATACAAACATGTCATAATGTTATGTAATGTATAAGTCTCTGGCTTCATCCTGAACTGTAACACCTGCCAATTCATTCTTTACCTTTGGGTCCTTTAACTCCAAGCATTCCTTGTGGCCCTTTGAGTCCTGGAAGGCCTCTTGTTCCGCCCTGTCCTGGGAATCCATTGTCTCCTTGAGAGCCAGGGGCCCCTGGAGGACCAGGTTTTCCAGGTAAACCAACTGCGCCCGACTCTGGCCTTCTTAAACTAGCCGCTAACTGTGCCAGCTGTTCTGTGGGAGCAAAACAGAAAGAAGATGATGAACCTGATGAACTTTAATAAATTGAATATAATTGAACAGATGCATAACTGGCAGCAAGACAGTAAATGTTTCTCAACAGCTGAAGCTGACTGTTATCGAGAGACTTTTTAATACACAACACCTTGTTATGAGTCGTGAGGTAGCTCATTTTTGAAAGCCCCAGAGCCCCCGTGTAAAAGAGATGGTCCAACAGCTCCTGTACCTGGAGCTGAGTGAAGCAGAGCAAGGAGAAACCGTGGTCACGATATCCCTCGAGCTCCTGCTGTTTTTCAACTTTTTCTATAGAGCCTCGGTAAATCGAGCAGAAAGGATGTAAGACTCTTTATTGCAGGCAATCAGTAACAGGAAATGTGCACTCATGGTGCAAAGGATCTAATATTAATCTCCTGTGGCTCCTGCAGCATGCTATTCTGCACTCCAGATTCCAGTTTTCCGGCTCCTGATGAAAATTCATGCAGCCGCTGTTTGACTGCTCCTTTTTTTTTTAAAAGATATATCTTTTCCAGGCAGACTCTTTGCATGGAGCGGTGGAGAGCAGGTCTGCTGGAGGTGAAATTAATTTTTCAGCACTTGGGGGTATAAAACAATCATGAGTGTAGGAGATGAGTTGGTGAGACGCAGGAGCTTTAGAATGAAGAGGACAGAGGTTGTGACTTCAGAGAAACATTTCCTATCAAATAGACAAAGACTGAAGCTTATTTCATGTTTTGGTTATTAGGTCGTCCCTTTTTTTAACTCAAGAGTATTCAGCAGCCGCCCAGATCAATGACACCACGGAGGGGCGGCTCCTTGTGTGGTTGTGTAATGAGGCATTCTGGGAAAGATTAAAGTCATGAAATGAGGCACGAGAGACTGATGAATGGGTTCAAAGGCCTATCAGTTCTTACCTTGCATGACGCGCATGCAAACTTGTTTGATGTGCTGATCGCTCGGCTCTTTACCCTGAAAGGAAAAGGATGATTTAACAGATTTCATAACAGTAGATAAAACATTCATGACAAGACTACATGCCCCTGTTTGTACTGACTTGGTCTTCTATTCCTGGAGAACATTTTACCATTCTTTGGCTTATAAAAGCTGTTAAAGCATCCTGTGTGTGTAGTTTATATATCCCCTGCTGATGCTCAATATTCAGCTTTTGTGGTTACATTTTCTTTTGCACAATTTGAAATTAGAAGAACGACATCAGAGTATAAAGATAACATATGCAGGTGGAAGTCCTCAGCCCAGAGGGACTTATTAATGGCTTCCACCTTTTCTTTGCTTTGCTTTTTTATGTTCAGAATGGATAAATACTCCCAAAAAACTAGTACCTCGTAAAATAAATTAGATGACAGTGTGGTAATGGGGGTACCTGTAAATTAGACTGAAACCTCTGAAGCTCTTTGAAATTCAAACACTGTTTCCATGAGAAGATTAAATAATTGTATTTGTAAGTCTTCATGTTAAAGCACAACTTGGTTCTGTCACACTGCTTCAAAGACTTTGTAAGAATCCTTGTAAACATTTCTAAAAAAGGTTTTCTTTGATTTACCGCAGGACCCTGGGACCCTCTCACTCCAGGGGGGCCCCTGTTCCCCTGCATGCCCCTCGGTCCAGGTGTGCCAGCCGGCCCATCGATGCCAGGCTGTCCTCTGCTTCCCTCTGGTCCTCTTTTGCCAGCATCGCCTATGTTACCGGTCTGAACAGAGATAAAACATTAGACCAGGAAATGTTTACAAACTGCAGCACTTCCTCAATCATCAGGAACATACTGATATATATATAATCATTCTGAACTCACCTCTCCTTTAGCTCCACCTTCTCCACCCTCACCCTTGGAGGAAACACAAAAGGACAATTGTACTCCGGTGAGAATCTCTTCTGAACAGCATTGTTGAATAATGAATAATGTTGGTGTCACAACTTACGAGCTCCCCTTTGTCTCCAGGGTTTCCCTCATCACCTTGTGTTCCCTATAAAAACACAGTCTGTCAATGATTCATTTAAACACAGCATTGCCATTAAGATTTATTAAGATTTAATATGAGGATATCACACCTGATCTCCTTTGGATCCTAGATCTCCACGTTCTCCCTGGAACAAGCAAAACAAACGTGTTAACTAGCTAAATGATCATCGTCACACAGAGCGATATATATTCTACTTGTACACACTAGAGGGAGCTGATCAGCTGTTTTTTGCTGAGCGTTAATCACGCTGTTACTGTTTCAGACAATTGTCCTCAAGCTGAAAAGGTCAGAGCAGTTTTCTTACCCTCTCTCCCTTCACTCCGGGAAGGCCGTGAGGACCAGGAAGACCAGGGAGGCCGGGGTCACCTTGGGATCCCTATAACAAACAAAAAAATAAACAATGAAAATATATAATAGAATAGCGCTGATATCTTCAAATCAGAGTTATATAACCTATGTTACCAGCAGCATCTAAAAGCCAAAAACAATGCCTCAGTGTTTGTAGCTGTTTCAAGCATAACACCTGTTCACTGGCAGGAATGGCTCAATTATAAATGGTAATTGTAAAATATCTCATTGCTACTTATGCTCTCATCTGTCACTGTGTGCCAGTCCCTCTCTGATCACTGAGAGACTGTCAGAGGAATGCCAGGAGAACAGAGGGCTCTTTCAGCCCGCTGCTTACTACTCTCCCCTTACTGTGAAAATAGACCTCATGTGAGATCCAGCCTCGGCCTATTCTCTGAGACATTCCAGGGAAACAACAGCCAGGACTTCAGGCTTCCCTCCTTTCAGCTTCTTTCATTCATAGAATTAAATGTGCCTGTTCACTGGCTGCCGGGGAATTCATGAGGACAGTTTCTTTTCAAAATAGGGGCATGAAATTAAGAGATTTAATCGGGTAAAATCCAACTTTGGTCTCTTTTGTTTATAGCTTACCCTGCCACCTGGCTTGCCCGATGAACCTAGTGGGCCTTGCACACCTACAGCTCCCTGTGGGAAAGAAGAGAACATTATAAGAAAGTAATAGTTGAAATGAACATATGGACAAAATAAAGACAAAGAAATTCAGGGTTATTATTGTCAATTATAACAGGAACTAGAATAGACATTGGCAGTGAAATATATTGTCGTAAACTGAAACTAAATGTAAAAACATGTCCAAGAAAACCCAAAAACGTATTAAGATAAAACAAAAAAGGTTTCAATTGTTTGGCTATATCACTATTGGAAGCTTGATTTCCATCAATTCTCCTGACATTAAAACAAATAAATTATACTTTGATGAAATTGAAATGAAATTAAGTTATAAAGTCAAAACTAAAATTAACTTTAAAGACGTTTAAAACTATTATAAGCTTGTAGAAATCCAAGCAGCAAAAGTACTCACAGGTTCTCCAATAGGCCCAATAGGTCCAAGCCCCCCCTGTGTTCCGCGCTCACCCTGAGGAGTGACAGGAACATGACTCAGTGACAGGACAGAGGTGACAAAAATCTCCACAGTGTTTCAGCATGTGCGGCCCATCATACTCACAGCTTTGCCAGCAGGTCCCATTATTCCTGTGAAGCCTGACTGACCCGCGTCTCCCTGTGAAGAAACAACCAACGTTTTTTTTAAATGTGCACAATTTCATAACAACTAAAATAATACAAGAAACAAAGGATAATGTTTTATAAATGCAAACAACCTTAGAGCCACTCAAGCCTTTTGGTCCAGAGGAACCAGGCAAACCCTAAAAACAGAAAACACTGCATCAGAAACAACAACAACAATTGATTACAACAAAGGATGAATCATTGGGAGAAACACTGGAGCAGAAAGAAAGCTTAGTGGATACAAAACACATTTGGTTTGAGCTTTTGACCCGAATAAACTTAGGCAATCTGGATATACAAATTGGCTGATTACTTGTATGCCTAGGAAATCTTTCTTGATTCTGCAAAAGGCGAGCTGCTCAACTGATTCTCATTAGGGCCTTTTATTAGTCTAATCACAGATTAGTGGGCTCAAGAAACTTTGCTTTCACTTTTCAGCTGCGGGAAGCCAGAGAATACGGTCTAACAGCTGAGCCTGCTGTCTTTGAAATATCACAGAGGGTGGGAATCAATAGTATTTGTATGAAATGTCTAACCACATAAACTGTTATATATATATTATACAATACAATGGTAAGAAAGGGTAACACTTCCTTTGATGTCCATGTCTTTAATGCATAGACATAGGGATAAAATAGTGTTTATCTTTTTACATAATGTGTTTTTATTTGTAATATGTTACAATGAATAATAAGGTATAGAACTGGCATGAGAAAATGTACTTCCCCACCCCTTTAAATATTATCATTTATATTAGCTTTAGTCTACATTGTGTGTGTTGTTCTTGCACAGATTTATTTATGTTTTTTCACTTTACTAAAAGCAAACAATGCATTTTAATGCATTAAAAAAACATTATAGTATATTACATACAGTACTATGGGAATTGTAATACACTATTATACTCGCAAAACGTGTCATTTAGAGACCAGCAATGTTGTAGTAGTAGTAGTGTAGTATTATGAAAGTTAGCCTTACATTATTTTATATAATCTATTATAATGAATTATAATTATTGTTATAAATAATTATGTATAGAAAACATTGCTATAAAACGGACACGGGTGTCAGAGAAAGTGTAGCTTTTTACTGCAGTACAGTTGTGGAGATGAGGTTTGTTCTGCAGCATGCCTCAGCTATGGTGCTTTAAACGGCTCCTGGTGAGTTTACTCAGGTGCATCTAATCAGAGTCAGTCAGTGTGGGGTCAAAGGTCATACTCACAGGAAGCCCCTGAAGTCCAACCTCTCCAGGAACGCCTGACTTCCCAATGAGTCCCTGCAGAGACAGACAGAAAGAATGAAGCTCATACTGCTCCTCGGATTGATAGAAATACAGTTTTTTCTTTATAAACTGTTACATTATTACTAGTTTTATAAATAATTGAGGCTTCACCTTTCCTCCAGGCATCCCAGGAATACCCTCACGGCCGTCCACACCGGGCAAGCCCTAGTAATAAAAAGAACAATGTTAAATTATCGTTTTGGAGGCAATGTATGGAGCATATTAACCTTATCGATCACACTTACACCATCTCCCTTTGGACCAGGAACACCTGTGATTCCTCTCAGCCCCAGAACACCCTGAAAAACAAAGCAAAAGTTTTTTTTTAAAAACTGTATAAACAAATGGCAGCGTTCATTGTCAAAATAAAAAAATATTCATGTTTTAATGCGTTTACTTACAGTTTCTCCTTTAGGCCCAAGCTCGCCCATCACACCTCTCTGGCCTCGATCCCCCTGAAATGCATTACATCATATCATGTGGGCCACATTTGCTGTAAAAGTTAAAAAGCATTTGTATTGTGGGACAAACTTACAGTTGCCCCCCCAACACCCTGGGGACCTGGATCTCCACCAAGACCCCGAGCTCCCTGCAAGAAAACAATATCCACAGTTAAAAACATGTTTGAAGAATAAACATTGTAAAGGCAACAGTTCATGGATTTTTATGAACTTAAATATCATAGAAACACTTACCAGCTCTCCCTTGTGGCCCATCATTCCCATGGCCCCACGAATTCCCTGGGGACCCTGAAACACAACCAACAGGTGCCTTCATGAGCAGAAGAAAACACATAGGAAACTACAAATATTTGTACTATAACTTTATATATTTATCTAATTGAATAATGCGATATCTTACCGCTGGTCCTTGTGATCCGAGCTCCCCTGATCCACCCTGGTCTCCTTCCTCACCCTGTGTCGACGAAAGATACAGACCATTAGGATAAAAGCATTGTAAAGTCAATCAGATGAAACAGTAAACAGCATATTCAAATAGAGGCTGCTCCTATCCACTTTGTGTTAATTAGAAAAGCAGGCAGCCTTTCTGAAATGTGTGTAATGGTTACTTTTTAATGGACTGTGAGTGGGGCAAAGCAAACAAATTACTGTTCTCCTGCTTTGCAAATTACAAATACTTTATAAGCTAACTGGTACACCGTGGTAACCCTAAGTAAAGAGATGAAAAACAACGCATAACTGAAAATAAATATTACACAACAAGCAGAAATGAACACAATGAAACGTCAACATCTGTTTACAACATGAAAATAAACATATTCCTTATTCTGTTAAACAAACTCTTAATATCTATGTAATCTCCAATCATTGAAAGAAATGTCTTCAATTTCTGGTGTTCTATTTTTATTGTTAACTATTTGTTATGCTATTGTTATAGGTTATATAGAATTAATGTATTGTTTCTGTTTATTTCTAATATAAAAGGAAGTACTCTGTATGTCACTAGGTCACAATCTGCCATCGTTCAGACACTTACTAACTTTATATTTGAATATTCTTTCCCAATATATTTAAATGATACACGTTCATCCCCTGCACACCATCTGGTATTCTTTGTTAGCGGTAAACATCTTTATGTGTGGGGATTTGTGAGTGAGAAACAGGCAGAAGGCATGCAGCTCTCAGTGAGGAGAAGCAGACTGACATTAAATCATAAGCTGCATGGGGTGATAAAGAGAGATAGGCCCAGACTGATTTCCATTTATATAGTGCATAGACACATTACAGGGAGAGGCTAGTTTGTGCTTGAACATCATTTCAGATAAATCATTCTCCATGCATTACAAGGAGTCAGACGCATTACACACAAGCATGTATCACTTCCTCATGGAATAGAGCAGCACAAATAATACTTGTCTCCAAGGCGAATATCCCTTTTTCGCATTCAAGTCGTGCATAATTTTGTTTTGATGTGGAATGTTGTGACATGTGTGACAGTTGTGGAGGCAAAATCATATTTTTATGGAACCATTCATGCAGTTTTATGAGAGGATAAATTCACTTTTGATGTTGTTGATGTTTAAAACATGTTATATGACTTTAAATACTTGGCTTTTGGTTTAAAAACAAGGATTTCTCCCTAGATGAATCATATTTTACCTTGTGCCCTTGTTTCCCAGGTTCTCCTGATTCGCCTTTTACACCTTTGTGGCCCTTGAAAAATACAGACAATCAAAGCAGCGCAAGTTAAAAACACAATATTGGGACAGAATCGTCATGTGACAAGACATATTCACTCTGCTACTCACCTTCATGCCAGGAAGGCCTGGGTGTCCAGAGGTCCCAGGAGGGCAAGAGTCTGGACACTAAACAACAACATAAGTCAGAAAATGTAGCTGATAATCTAAATTTAAAAAGAAAATGTCATTTATAATCTTCAGAAAAAAGCTTTACCAGGTCAGCACTGCCTTGCATTCCAGCTGCACCCTGAAATTGAGGGGAAAATACAGGTTTAAAATGTATTCATCAAAATCATGAAGGAGATGGTGAATCACGAGAGTGGGATGCCCTTAGGCCAAATTCATTACGTTTCTGCCTCACGCTTCTTCCCTTGTGAAATATTAAGTGAAATGTAATCATATCGAGATCTATGTCACTTACTCTGGCCCCTGTAGGTCCATGAGGTCCCTGTGGCCCTCTCACACCTATGGACCCCTGTGGAAAGACAAAAATAAGATGTGTCAAAGACTGTACAGAGAGAATAAATGCACTGGGCTCTCAATTTAGGAGATCTAGCACAGACTGCACTTTTAATGTGAATTATACACAACGGCAGGTATCATTTCAGGGATGGCAAAAGTAACAATAAGCCTACTATAAAAGCCATAATGTATGTATGTGTTGCACAAATGTATAATACTACATTCGATATTTCTCACTTCTGCTTGGACTGACTTTCGTTTATTTTTGTTTTAGGGGCCAACACATCTGATTTGTTGTTGACCAATAGAATAACACCACCTCTGTGCTCAGTATGATTTGATGTTTCTAGCCTCAAATTTAAAACAGTTATAGTCCATTGCTTGGTCAATACTCACAAGTGGTCCAACTTTTCCCAGTTCACCCAAAAGTCCTCCAGGCCCAGGTGGTCCCTGTACAAATTCAAACACAGGACTTTAGTATTGACCATTTTCTATAGCTCAGAAAATCAATATAAACTGTGGAGTTGATTGTGTATTTTAAAAAATGACTTACGGGGGGTCCATCTGGCCCAACACCCTAAAGAGAGACACACAGTTTGAATAAGGGTGATATACAGTATATACTGTAATTTGATGGGAATAAAAGCTAACAATAAAATAAAGACATCTTATCCTTGGACTGACAGGTGTAGAGAGGATATGCTACTCACAGTGGCTCCACGAGGTCCAGATTTTCCAGGTTCACCCTTAAGAACGAAGATAAATACATAAGATACACACATAGGTGATGAAACAAATACTGAAATACTGTGTTATTCAGGTAAAATTGAGCTGTGTGAACCTGCAGACGGTCTGAGTTAACATTCCTGCAGATCATCACATGACTGCGCCGGGCACACTTGACCCAGCAATGTTTAGCTTTAATGAGGAGTGATGTTGGGGGCTTTCGTTCCCCACGGAGATTACACAGAACACTTGCAGGATTAAGTATCATTTGTCATGAGGGATTGGTTTATGCACTGCGGCGCCCGCTGCCATGCCAAAAAGACCGGACAGCAGCTTGGCACCGTTTCACTGACAGTCTCTGAAGCAGGGAAGCAAAGGCTCATTAGTCACTCACTTTCTGTCCGAAGGGACCATCGGGCCCTGCATCTCCAATAGGGCCGGTCAAACCCTGTAGAGGAGAGAAAGCATGCTTAACGAATACATCATAACAAACAGAAAAGCACATCAACGCCTATATGTTCTCATTATAATCAAAAATGATGCATCAGGAAATCCTTTTACCCCAATCTCTGTAAAAAATGTCTCTCGTGAATCTATGTATTACATCATCAAAACATAATCATACTCCAGTGGGAGGAGTCCTAACTGGACTATACCCCCCCCTCCTCTATATATATATAAACACTGCACTGCAGCTCCACGTTCACGAATCAAAGCTCTGTTTTGGAGCACATCATGACGTACACCAGAGCGAGTGCGACTTCACAGACACACAGAAAGTTAGCAGCAGGGCAGAGGGCAAAACTCTCAGACTGCAAACCAAGCACAGAGAGCAACATTCCACAGGCCCATTTCAAACAAGCCCACTGAAAGAAAATCATTCCACACTGTTTTGAGGATTCTCGACAGGAGATACCAGCAGCGGCCAGCCTACAAAGCTGCTATTGTTCTCAGAACCCTGGTGCATGTACCCAGGTTGGCAATGAATCATAATGCACAACAGAAATACATGGATTGTACATTCTGAAACTCAATCTAAGCCTTTAAGTTGATGTAAATCCACCAATAGTTAATATTTGTCAGTCTATCATCAGCACCAGTGTTATGATTGGATGTTTTCCTAACCCTCCTTTAAACTCTGGGGAGCAAAGTTAATTACACTCTGGACCTGGTTTACCCTGCTACAAAGGACATTTGATTTGTTCATCCTGTTTAATAAATTCTTCGCATTTTTTGCACACCTTTCCCCAACACCCTAAATGTGATATTTAATTGGTCATCTAAAACACTAATAAGTGTCAACATTATATAATAATGAGATGAATCCTCACACTTTGTAGTTCCACCCACTTTGCAGCCTTATGGATTGCATGTTGACCTCATTGTGTCAAATAGGATAGATGTATAAAATATGTATTTATGTATAAAAAGTGTATTAAATACTCACATCATTTCCAGGAAGTCCAGGTAATCCTGTAGAGCCGGGTTTACCTGAATCTCCATCAGGTCCCTGAAAACAAAGGTTCCACATACGCACACGTTAGTGAAAAGCAATGCTTCATTTTAATTGTATTTATTAAACGTTATAATTACATGAAGTCCCTCTCCGCCATCGTCTCCCCTTTCCCCCTGAAACAAAAGGGAGTCAATGCTTTAAGGTGAGCAAATAGTCAGCTGTTCGCATATTATTTTGCACATGATAGGAACAATGTAACAATGTAACAGAACTGAGAGCACTTACAGAAATGCCATCAATTCCCGGTACACCTGCAGGCCCAGAAGGTCCTTGGCTCCTCTGAACAAAATAATAAAAATATGATATAATGACAAAACATCAGCTTTAAATAATGAATACTATTGCATGTTGCCATTTGACTGACATACTGCTACACAGACAATGAAAAAATGAGAACAGGTGCATTTCATTTTTGTATATTACTAGAAGAGAAGCCTGTTTGGTACATACAAAATAGCTATAGAATGTATTTCTCATGCACAAATCACCAGGTTTATGTAGCATTTCGCAAAAGAAAAAGCTTAAGAAAGATACTCCAGACAATAGTCGCATCCCTGACTTTTCTCCATGCTAGATGTACAATACATTTGTTAGATAAAACACTCTTAGCATGTCGCCAGTGTTGCAGGTAAAAACATATCTTGTTATTCGGCACCAGGAGACATTTACCTGCACCTCGGTCCCAACCGTCTATAGAGAAAATAGAGAAAGAGAAAGTAGGAGAGAAGGAAACATAATAAGTCTTACTTGAGCGGAGCAGATAAGGACAAGCTGGAGAAGCAGAACCAAAAGTGGCCCTCTAACGCTGGAGGCCTGAGCCATGATCTCCCGATGGACAGGAAAGGTAAAAGTTGTAATCCTTTCTCTGGGTTTGGTTGGGTTGAAGAAGCCCCCGACAAAACAACCCAACTGAATCCGCTTCAGCTATCTAGACAGTCCGAGGTCCCATAGCCATCAGAGGCTCATGTATATTCATGTCATGTTTGGTTACAGAAAGGTAGGGGAGGAGCCTCGGCGCAGACACCACCAATAGGCAGGGTCAGCGGGTCATTTAACCTAATGTATGCTATGGATTTTATTATAAATTAAAATTATCACTGTAATGATAAATATTGTGTATTGAGACAATTGGAATATAATTTTAAGTCACAAATATACAGCATGAATCAAAAATGTGGTTTTATGCACACACTTTCAATGCGGCTTGATTTAAAATTCCCCTGCATTAAATTAAAACGTATTAAGCTAAAACAATACTCAACGTCTATAACTGGTAGTTTGAAACCTCAAAATACGAATTCAGATTGTTATTATGTACTTTATTTTTAAATCTTCTTACCGATGTCCTAGCTGGGAGGTCATAACAAGGCTCTGTCCGGGTTCGCGTCAAGTCGCAGTGAATCAGCATTGACTGGAGTTCAAACTGTATAAACACATGAACATGGAAATAATGCATAAGCACAATGACATCCTTAGGACTAGTTCTAAACCCTAATACCGGAAGAGGTATATCGTCCTAAAAGCAAGAGGCTGTTTTCATTAACAACTTTGCCACTACTCTGGATTTCCTGCAGCATATAGGCTACGATACAATTCAGACAGCAGGGTGTGCACAATACATAGCCTATGTTAAAGGGCTCATTATGGATTCATTAAAACACGCTTCAAACACCGGGAGTAATATGAATTATTGGTAAACATTCATTTCATATGTATTAGGATGCTTCTGTGCTTAATTGTGCACACGCATCCGAATATTCGGAACACTTGCACGTGCGCTGCACGGTGTGGTATTACAGGATTGGTTAGCCTGTGCAGAGCTAGTATTCTTCGCCAGAAGCTGCAACAAGTTCCGAATATTTGTCAGTGAAGCTTGAATAGAGACACAGCAGACTTCAACTGCTGACCATTGTCAGAGACATACGAAACAGCAGGGTGAGAAAACACAAGGATTCCTAAACGTTTGCAGGTCAACCTAAAATGACTAAATGAGGACTGTGGCGCACAAGATGATCAATGAAGTTAAGTGAAACAATACAAACACAAATAGAGCAATCTTTCTGAATAAGTTAAGAAGATTTGCCAAGAAAAATAAATGAATTCAATTCTAACAATTCATCATTTTGTTATGAGCTCATTCTACACTTTTCATGTAGCCTAAACCTAAAGTAAAACAAATGTGCAGGGTTAGGGTCACGTTTCACGATATGATCAATTACATTTTATAAAAATAATGTATGGCTTAATTTGTAATGTGGACTCTTGGAAGATTAACTAATGACCTAAAATACATCACAAATAAATATTTAAATCAAATAATGTTGTTTACAAGTACTCCTACGTTAGAATAGTGCTTGAGAAACGTGATTCATTTCCACCAGTGCCCCCTCTTCTCAGCTCAATGAGGAAGTGCTGTGATGTGGCTCTGAAAGTGAACATTACTGTATACTGTGAAAGTGTCAATAAATAACACTTAGGTAATAATGTAAAATGTTTAATGATTCTGAGCAATCAATCCATCCATACAGACTGAATGAGCTAAATGCATAGGAAGCTTTCTTCTCCTTTATAATTCACAAATTAGGCAAACCAATCAAATATGCCATAAGGTAAGATGAGTGTATGTGATCAAAATACCACATTTGGGCTTTTACAGAAAAACGTTTATTTTCCAATAGCTGGCAACTGTCCCCCTACTGGCTGACTGATCCATGTCCTTGTGGAAAGCCCTGGGCCAAAAAAAACGTGTTAAGGGCCACCAAACTCCTAGGGCCAACCCGATTCTTAAATGTCATAAATGCACATGTCTTCCTTCAGACGCAACATCTGTAGGATATAATAGACGTACCGGTACTGCCAGCACAGGGTTGTCCTTGAGCTTTCCTATCAACGTGAAGCCATCCAGGCTGACTTTGTTTCGGGCTGGTATATTCTGAGAACCGATCATGGCACAGTCCACGAACAGTGTTACAGAGCGCCTGTTCACGTGCAGCACCACTTTGTGCCACTGGTCGTTGAAAAGAGTAGGCAGGGGGCCGAACACAAGAGTCTGCCTCCCGGTGTCCAGTGCAGTGAAGGTGAACTCCAGAGACTGAGACTGCCCGTTGAGTCTGACGGCCAGCTGCTCCATGCCATTCACATCCTGCATTTGCCAGATATTCCAATTTGTATTGATGGTGCTGCCACTCATGCGCAGCACGGCCACAAATGCAAACTCCTCAGGTAGACCCAAGGGGTAAGCTGATCTGAAATACAAAGGAAACTGTGTCTGTACTGGACATATATTGTGTATCAACGACTATTTTCCTGTTGATAATGGTCAAATCATATATATTGATCATATACAATGTCATGTTTCTGTTTTTTAAGAAGTATAACTGATGGTGCAGATAAGGTCAAGCTCTGATGTTCAGGACCATGGACAGGGTAAATGACGTATGACCAGCTCACCCACTAGGTGTCAGTATTCACTCATGCAACTCAATTGTACGCCATGCAGTTTACCTTGTGTTGATCCTGAAGTTGAATGCTGGGCCTATTTGATAAGCAGCATGCTGAGTAGATGTTCCAGTAACCTTTTTAACAGTGCCCCTTCTTGCCAGCTCAGCAATTTGGAACTGGGACATAATATAAAAGCCTAAGGGAACAACGACAAAAAGGTGGTTACATTCAAAATCATCTTAGAGGTCATGTTAGACCTTGGGTAGAGACTACTACAGGGTTAAGGACACACAAAAACATTTTAAATTTGTATTATGACTTTGAAGTATTTTTGTAATGATAATTCATGGACATGGGTTACTAACCAAGGGTCTTCTAACTATTATTTGTTCTTACCAAAAGCTATTAAAAATAATATACGGTTTCACAAACATAGAGCATCAGCATGAAAAGTGTACTTTTTCACAGCAGTATTTATATAGGAATACAAGTCTGTACAGTAGCTCTTTTTCTCATGTGGGCAGGGAAAATGTCAAACAAATAAGAAAGCAAACTGTGCTTAGTTTTGGTGAATCCACCTGGGAAGTGATCCTCCCCAACACTGATCTGAGGGCATATGGACTGCTGCTCCCTATGAATACCAACTTGAGATGAAAATCTCACAGCTGAAAGCAAAAAACAAAAAGCAGCCCGTTAGTAGTCGGAGAGAGAGAGAGAGAGAGAGAGAGAGAGAGAGAGAGAGAGAGAGAGAGAGAGAGAGAGAGAGAGAGAGAGAGAGAGAGAGAGAGAGAGAGAGAGAGAGACAGAGAGAGAGAGAGACAGAGAGACAGATAGAGACACAGAGACAGAGTGTGTGTGCGTGTGGTTGTGGGGGTGTGTGTGTGTGTATTGTGGAGAGGGAATAAAAGCTTAGTGTTTGGAAAGCTGCACCGCTGCCTTGAATAAATATTAGGCGATCTCTGGCTGTTTGTGGTTTCCTCTTTAACACTTACACTCTAAATGTGCCAGTTTTTGTACACATCTGGAGAGAAAGCTAAAGGTCTTTATCAAGGTTGACTTCACATCTAACAAAATGTGCACTTGCATGGTACCACAATTGTATTAAACATATACCACTGTTAACATGACATGTGTAGTGATACTGTGTTATTATACTTTGATACTTTGCTGTATTCACTTACATCATACTGTAGCACACTTGAAACTATATACAGCTACACAGCTTGACACCCTAACCCTGCAATGATGATGCTGCTACACAGAACCACACAGTATGCATGTCATAAAATATAGATAAGAGCAGCAGTGTTTATGGAGGAAAGACAATAAAGTGGAAACGAAGCAATGATTCATTAAATCATTTAACAAGCGGTTTATATGAATGAATTGAGTTTTTCAGCTATAAAATAGGTCTGGAACATGTAACAGATGTCCATATTTAACATGTATTGAAGAGAAAAATGCAGAAGTATGTAATGGCTGAAGAGATACTAATAATTATTACGCAAGTGAACACTTACTTTTGCAACAATGCACTGCATTGGTCATTTTGCAATAGTTTTTTTTTTTTTAAATAAAATATTTGTATTATTTGTGTACTTACTCTGAGAATGAAGTCCTGTGCAAAGGTATTGTGGGAACACATAGCAGCAGCACCATGAGTACAGAAGGATATTTCTGTAATGCAATCAGAAGAAAAAAGTAGACATGCATTTATTTGCATTGTGGCTTTCATTGTAGAATTAAAACTGCCAGACAGTGTTTGCAAATTACTCGGGTACAAGGTAGTTATTGAGTGGATTGTTTACCTTTTGACTCCATCCATTTCATAGCTTGATCTGGAAATAATAATACATTAAAAAAAACACCTGCCGCTGGATGTATCTTCAGATTGGCTTCCAGGAGAGAACCAGATCCTGACTAGTTGCCCCCTCAGCAGGAGTGAAAAACTGTCAGGTCACAGTGAGGGGTTGACTGTTGTCATTTATTTGGGGGAGTGAGTCAACAGTCTCCACAGTGTCAACTTTACATTCCAAAAGAGTTATCCTGCAACCAGGAGTATTTAATGTTCCTTCAAGGATACAGTCACATAATTGTACCCCATTTGTAGTTCTATTTCCATGATTGGGCACTATAATTAATGCCATGTAAGTTGCTGTGAAAAAGATAATGTTACCCTTGGGTGGCTTTACTTACCCAGCATTTTTGGTATCCACATTCTCTGTGATCTCTATGGAGATGAAGCATTCAGACAGCATTGTTTCCAGTGCAATCCATACTAATAATCTAGAGACGCTGACTAAGAAGCTATAAGAAGGTATTCCAGATGTGTTCGTACTGTCAGGCCCAGAGGCAGAAAAAAAAGTTCATCCTCAAGAAGAAGGAGGACTTGTATTTTCATTTTATTGATGATCTATGTAATTGCAATTGTGTGAAACAATAGCTTACAGCCTGTTAAATACATAAAACATCTTCTCGCATATTTGGAAAAACCTCCACTTTAGATGTTTGACAGCGTTATTGGCATATGCAAATAACTACAATGACAATTATACTGCTATTACTATTACTACTATACTACTACTACTACTACTACTACTACTACTACTACTACTACTACTACTACTACTACTACTACTACTACTTATTAAAAGTATTTTTATCGGACACAATTTACAGCCATCAAACACTGGACTACTCTTTCAATTGAATATAAAACCTGTATTGATTTTAACACATTTGATATTGAGCAACCGGTCATGCCAACGTTAATTACACTGTAATCTGAGTATTTCAATTGTAACTGTATTGTAATATTATATGTTGACTGTACTATGTATTATTGTATTGACCTGTACTTAAATCATGCTTTATAATTGTTTGTGTGATAGAGATTATGCAATGTTTTAGTGTGTGTTATGTACCTGATGACTGCAGATGGAAATGAGCTATTAGCTATAATCTGTCATAATTAATATATTCTCTTTTCTGAGATTAATGTATGTATGCATGGTCCTTGTTGAAATAAATACACAATATAATAACAATACCATTTGTATTATAATGTGTACAAAATAGTATTTTAATCACGAATAATAATAGTACAAATATTATATCATTGTTGTTGTTATTATTGGAATATAATTATCGCTATTAAACCATGTATCAATATTGCATGTGCGTCAACTGCGCATGTAGAGTGTGCAGTAACGCGCAGTTGAATGTTCGTAAACGCGCAGGTGGAGCTACGCTTGCTGTCAGCTCTTCAGATTGAGCACAGTTACTTAGCTCTAGGGCTAACAGACAGCACTGCTCACAGAAATACATGGCCAGTCAACTTTTTGTATTATTTTAAGGGCGTTCCTCTCGTCACGCTAGCAGCCTAGGAAGTGGAATAGTCAGCATACTGTGGTGTTTTCTGTCAGCAACTCACCGTGAAAGGACGACGAGAGGACTGAAACTGGAGCTAACGTTGGTTAGCTAGCTAATGTTAGCCTGCCAACGCAATGGTAAGTAGCGTTAGCTTGCCTCTGCGGCTAATGTTAGACCCAGGGACAACTGCTAGAGGGGTGGCTAACGTGACGCTAACTGTTACCGTTAGCTAAATGGCTATCAAGTGATAGTTCTTCTCGTTGGTCTGTTAAAGTGTATTTTTTCGGACCGTCAGTGACCTTTTGTTGGTCCATTGGCATAATGCTCTTTTGGTAGCTTACCACCTGTAACCCAAAAGATACCCTTGCCGAGATGTTGCCCACTAGCCAGGGACCTTTCCCACCCCATCACCAAAACCATGTCGCTCAGTCATAAGTATAACAGCTGTTTTTGAACTGGTCTGTATCCGTTTTGGGGTTTAGCTGCTGGGGTAAAGGTTCCCCTTTTTAAAGAAGAACATTATCTGTCGATTTATGTTAAGGCCAGGTCAATAACATTGCAATAAGACTGACGATGGATGTTTTAGTGTACTTTATCCGATGTTGGCTGTCGACTTGAAATGTGTTAAGTGACGGTTACACTTCCTTATTACTAATAGCCTTATTTCTGGGGAATGTCGCATTTTTTTTCTTTTTGGTTATGGCGTTTTTGCATATTAAATACTTTTTTGTATTAAATCTAAGTTTATGAACAAACGTTTCAGCGGAACACCCCATTGTCTGTTGGTTTATACAGTCTGTCTTTTCCCACCTTTTTAAATAGTCCATTATTATTAGGCTTAACATGAGTGTAGAGTTGCATCTTTGTTCTAAGCTGGTTCTAAGACTAAACCAGTTGCTCTGACCAACACTAAACTACATATCGGACATTCACTGGATCAACAATCTTTCATGTTGACCTTAATGTTAATTTGCTCCTTTTTATATTATAAACATATATATATGTCTGCATTAGACAACTTTTGGGACATGTTAATTAATGCCTTTTTTCTCTATCACTAACCCATGCTATTATTGTGCACATTGCAGTTAAAGAAGACTAAAGAAAAGCAGCTTTTAGTGTTTTGCTATTATGAATAATATATCTTAGTAAACATTGTGAATGGCTGCTTGATTATGTATTTCTGACCAACCTTATTGCCATTAGTTTACAGTCTGTAGAATATGATGTGAAGGCAAGGACTGCTCTGAAGCATTACTTTAAAATGGTCATTTCAAACATATTTTGCCTTTAAAAATATTATCCTTACTGTCGTTGGAATATTGTATTTGAAGAATTGCAATTAAGATAGTTTTGGTTATCTGCTTGGACCTATTATTGAGTTGCTAAATTGTCTGTCAAACAAATAATTTGTTTCAATTTCTATACAAAATGTAAAGGGGTTATGTCATGGTCTTAGTATAGATTATTAATGGTTAAAACATAAATGCGTCAGACATTTACAATTCACACGTAGACACATTTAGCAGTAGGAGGACACACATACTAGTGTCCTCATATGTCCTCTGTGTTCACTTTAATTTAGTGTTAAACCAACAGCTTTTACAGATCACTTCTTCTAGGAAGGGATGCAAAATGACCCGGCACTCTTTGTTCTGCTTAAGGACTCTGTGTCAACCATTCATGCTGGCGGTCTGTGTCTCATATTGGTTTTCACTGGCATGAAGACAGTGACCTGCTATCTCCCAGTGGATGATTTATTCATTTCATACATGACTTATTTAGGGACCATCTGTATGATTTGTTGTTGTTTTTCACAGTTTTATTAGACCCCACCTTGAATACTTAAATAAGTCTTGAGCTAAAAATGTTTTCAATAAATAACAGGGTGCTATGTTTATTTTTGATACTGTCTTTAAGGACACGCAATGTTTTCCACTGTCATGTTATAATGGTCAGATCAATTAGGCCCAGAGGAATAAATACCACCTATGCCAAATGAAGACCTCATTTCATAATAAACTATTAAACCTTAACCATCACCAAGTCTTACATAGTCGTTGGCTTTGGGTATTCTTCTAATGATTTCTTTCAATTGTTTGCATCCTTAGGCCTACCGGTGTATCCCAGATGATGTTAGGCCCCTCTGCCTGTAGAGACTAAGATGACTGAAGTCCAGGCCACAGTGGAGTTCTCTGTGGAGCTCCACAAGTTCTACAACGTGGACCTGTTCCAAAGAGGGTGAGAAGTGTCTCTACCTACCTTATATTCGGCTCCTTCTTGCCTATGTGTTCCCAGCAGGTGGCTATTCAGTAATGCTTTAGCAAAGGAACGTTTTTTCCAATCATATGTTACTAACAAGTTTACCTCACTTATTAAAAACTCCGATGTGATGGAATCCTTTGCTTTGAATGGACTTTAAAAAGTATGGTTTGGTTCTGTGATTGTTCTAGCCAACTGGGGACTGTTTACCATCTTGTTTAGACTTTGAGCTGGAGGAGAACTCTTTCTAAGGCCTGAATAGAATATGCTAAACTGTGTTTGTTGGCCTTCTTCTCGGTGAAGACGAGGGTTGGTTCTCTTATACATCCGAGTAAATATCCAAGGGTAAAGGTGTTCGTTGCAGTGTTTTTCAAATGTGTCAAAGCTGCACTAAAGTGTTCCGCAGGTTTTCAAGGAGCTTCTCTTTTCTGACTCACTACATTTGAATGTGTATCTTTATCACCGTTGTGCTGCAGGGTTAATAAGATGATTTAACTATCTCTGCTTCAATCAAACATGAAACTGTTTGTTAGGAAGCCTAATTTAGCATAATGTTTTTAGTATTTTGTCAAATAAAACAATAATAAAGAAAATCAAACAAATGGCGTTAATATTGAAACAACGACAAAAGCAGAATTGCAAGGTTTTATTTTGAACTAAATAGGAATAATGAGTCGTTGTTTAAACAGCTCTAACTGTAGTAGTCTTTAACGCTGGTTTTACTCTTTTCTACGGCAGTGTAATGGTATCCCACTTTTCTGCGATAAAACTCCTGACTCGGCAGTGTTTTAAGAGCTCAGGTTTACTACATGAGTGACTGCAAAAGAAAGCGCTCATTAATAATCCATGAGCGGTATAGTGTCATTTTACAAGTAGAGGCACTTGTGGCTAACCTTTGCGGTGTGTTGCCCTGTGGCTCCAAGCTAATACAACATTTGTCTGCATTTTCAGGTTCTACCAGATCCGTGCCGGCCTGAAGGTGCCACCCAGGGTTCCACACAAAATTGAGACCAGTCTGCTTCACCCAGGAGGTAATGCTATTTTAAAGATTAGCATAATATAATCTTTTCTTTTAGATACCCCAATGCATCAATTGGTCAGCCGTAAGCCTGCACACTTTCCCCTCAAATCTCCAATATAACTATTCTGTTATATTTTGCTAACTTGCAGTATGCTTAAAGTAATGCACTGCCTCTTTTCTTTCTAATACTTTCAGCATATTTTCTTCTCAGTTCTCATATTTAAGCGCTGTTTCTTGGAAAATAGTTGTTATTATTTCAGATTTGGTTCACTTGTGTAGTTAGCAGGAAGTGGTGGAGCACTGGCTTATCCCACAGGCCACTCCTTGTTCTTGTCCGTGCTGTATTTCTCTAACGGCCCGTCCACACAGCAGCTTTAGATGATTCTTCCACCGCTTCCAGCACTTCTCTGCCCATTGACTTTGAATGGGGATGACGTCACTTTTCCTCGCTTGTCGCCGAACTGCATTGTGGGGGAGCGAAGCGAAGATTTCCAGGATTTCCAGGATGTTCAGGATTCAAAAGTTGAGCAATGTTCAACTTTTGAAGCT